AGAATTATATAAAAAGCGCTCAAAAGAGGAGTGAATCCCATGGAAACATAAGGCCACAAAAAGACTCAAGCCTTCAAAGAGGCCAAAAAAATAACAATCTCCTCAACAGAACGATAATCTCTCCCTGAGACCCAACAAAAAAGAGTAGAAATAATAGAGAATGTAAGCATAGAAATGGGTTTCTCCTTGCCATCGAAATATCTCCGATTCCTCTCGAGCCAAATGCACCACCAAACATAGAGAGGGGTAGCCCTCCAAGCATCCCGGATGAGAGCCCCAACTGAGAAAGCTCTCCAAGCTTCAATCAACCCTCTAAAGGATCAGGGCATAACCCAGGGGACCCCAAATAACCCAATCATCATATCCCGACAATCTCTGGCCATATTGCAATGCAATAGAAGGTGATCCACTGTCTCCTCATCGCGTCGACACAAGTAACAGCGATTGATAACCACCTGCTTTCTCCTTCTCAAATTATCCTGGGTTAAAATCCTACCCAAGACATCCAAGCAAAGAAGGCCACCTTAAGGGGAGCCTTGGAGCGCTAAATAGCCTTCCAAGGGAAAGGGCCACCCTCCCCAATAGAAAGGCATCTGAAAAAGGATCTCACCTCGAATCGACCCTAAGAGTGTGGACTCCAAAGCTAACAATCAGACTCCTCATGAGAGATCACTTGACGATACAGTAACTCCAAAAAATGAGTGACCACCTCAATTTCCCAATCTTGAAAATGCCTCCTAAACTGAACGTCCCAAGTTAGTCTTCCGTTATCAAGATGATAACAGTCAACCACCAAGGCCTGCCTGTTAGAAGCAATCCTGAAAAGTCGAGGGAAAGAAAGAGCAAGGGGAAGCTCCTCACACCAAAGGTCCTCCCAAAATTTGATCCTCCTACCATCCCTGATCCGAAATCCAACATGATTACGAAAAATGTCCCATCCCTTTCGAATGTAAGTCCACACCCCCACACCCCTAGGACCACGCACCTCAAGAGAACACCACCCACCTCAAGAGAACACCACCCACCACTGATTTCGCCCAACTTTCTGGCAATAACTGTCCTCCAAAGCCAATGCCTCTCAACCAAACCTCCAAAGACATTCCCAAGAAGAGCCCTATTGAAAGGCAACAACCTTCGAATCCCTAAACCTCCGCTCCGAAGAGGACGACATACTTGCTCCCATCAAACCAGATGATATTTGAACTCCTCTCCTCTCCCTCCCCAAAGAAAATTGCGCTGCAAACTCTCAATTCTCTCCGCCACCGAAGAAGGAATCTGAAAAAGGGAGATAAAATAGGTGGGAAGGCAAGAGAGAGTGCTCTTGATCAGAGTGACCCGGCCCCCTTTGGAGAGGTACTGCTTCTTCCAACCCGCCAGCCTCTTCTCAAATCTATCCATCACCGGATCCTAGCTCCCCACACATCTCGAAGGAGCACCCAGAGGCAAACATAAGTAAGAAATGGGAAAAGAGCCAATGCGACATCCGAGTATCTGAGCAAACATATCGATATCAGGAACATCCCCAACCGGCACTAAAACACTCTTTCTGACATTCACTTTAAGCCCAGAGGCAACTTGGAACCATATCAAAATGCATCTCAAATGTCTCAGTTGGGACGCATCAGCATCACAAAGAACCAAGGTATCATCCGCAAACATCAAGTGAGAAATCTCCAACTGACTAGTAATATCTCTACCCACTTGAAAGCCTCTCGACAATCCCAGCTCAACTGCCTTTTTCAACAACCTGCTAAGCGCCTCCATCACAAAAAGAAAAAGGAAAGGAGAAAGCGGACCCCCCTGTTTCAAGCCCCTCGAACTAGAGAAAAGCCCGTCGGAGCTCCATTCACAAGGACAGAAAAGCGCGCACCAGAGACAAAAAAGAATCCATATTCCCAAAATTGTGCCTTTAACATGATTTTTTTATCTGACTTGGGGTGCATAAATGCTAATTTATTTATTTAATTTTTTTTTTTTGAAGAATTTGTCTTTTTAGCATCAACTCAATGAAGCCTCGTCCTGACTATTTAAAGTTAGATAGACGGCGATTTTTATCCATATGTTCTATCTGAGGCCATAATTTTTGTTGCATCACAATCGATCTTATCTTTCCTTTATTACAATTCATGTTAATTTTGGGTTCCCTTTCCTTTAGCACTACCTTCAATGTAGTCACGTCATGCTTCTTTACATGTATAGTTTTTGGTCTTTTCTGCACATGTTCAAACCATCTTTATTAATATCCTCTCAATTTTTTATTTTTTGATAAGTATTAATATCCTCTCATTGTATCTTCAATAGATGTTTACTTCAGCGATCTCACAAATAGGGTTCTTTTTCTAATTATATGTTATTTTTTATTTTTATTTTACCATGTATGAATCTTGACACCGTAAATTCTGCTGCGTTGATTTTATGAACTTGTTGTCATTGTTTTATAGATTTTATCTTTTAATTTTAGAGATATACATTAATGATACATTATACCCAAAGTGCTCCTATATGTTTTAATTCTAAGAGCAACATCCCAAGATTCTCTCTCTTTGTGAAGATTTTAATAATTTAATCTAGATAGTGTAAATATTCATCTCTCTCTTTCTGAAGAATTGAATCCAGATGGTGAAATTATTCAACTTTTGGTATCTATAGATTTTCGGTCTTCACTTAGTTATCCACTTTTTTTTTTTTTTTTTTTTTGATGAGTAAGATTGTATAAGAAAGCGTTCAAATGGGGAACGCATTTCAAGAGAAATTACTTAAGGGCCAAAAAGGCCCTAAGAACCTAAATAATTATTTCTCCACTTGTATTTCTAGTTTTGTTAAAATTATCGCCCATATATTAGTTTTAGTCCTACTTATAATAAACTCTTACAAGCTAAAGCTTTTCTTTGTACCTCTGAGGAGTACTAAACCCTATTTTAGTTTAATCAATTATAATAATATCATCAGTAAATCATGAAATGTGTTTTATCAATGTATTTATAACTAAATCAGAAAAAGACGGGGTTCAGAAAAATATGGGGTTATTGCTGATCCTTAATGTAAGTATACAAAACTCAGAAAGTCACTTGTTCCTCTGGCAGTTGTTTTTCTGTAGTCACAATTTTATACATACATACATATATATATATATATATCTAGGAGTTTGTTTTCTAAAACCCATCATATTATATCTCTTGGGCCCCTATCTATTTGTTACTCCTTTCTTTTATAGAAGCTACCGTATTAATGTTATATATGCCTTTTTAAGTTTGAATATCATCAAAACTTGCCAAATGTAAAAATATTTCTTAATAGTTATAATTGTCAAAATATTTTCTAATGTCAGACAAAATTTTGTTCTATTTTTTTTTTTTTTTTTGATAAGTAAATTTTTTTTTTTCTATTTTAAAATAAAAAAGACCATTACCCAATGTTCGTTCCACCAATATTGGAAGCAGGGAACTTATCAAAAAAAAAAAAAAAAATACTGGAAGCAGGGAGGTCAGACTAGTTCTATTTTGAAATACATAGCTATGATTCACTTAATTGAAACTTTAATGAACTGAAACTTTCAATCATTCTCCACCATCTAAAACATGAACTGTTACTACTACTTGATATAATCTTGAATTTTTGTTTGCACACACAAGGTTGCACTAATCAAGGTTCTCACATCAATATGTGATCCTCTTATTACCTAAGGAGTTGAACTCTGAATCCACGTAGTGAACTGTTGGGTAGTTGAACGAGTCCCACATCGGTTAGAAAACAAGGAAATCTGGGACACTTATATAGGGCAAGGGTCACTCCACCTAATAGGTTAACCTTTTGGGTTGGATACCCACAAGCCCAATAACTGGTATCAGAGCCAGTTCCCAAAGAACCGCATGTGGACTCAAGATCCCCTAGCTGACGGAAAGATGAGAAGGGAGCCTCGTTCAAGGGACCAATGACGTTCTATCCACCGGGGGGAGCCTCGTTCAAGGGGGGGATTGTTGGGTAGTTGAACGAGTCCCACATTGGTTAGAAAATAAGGCAATCTGGGACTTATATAGGGCAAGGGTCACTCCACCTAATAGGTTAACCTTTTGGGTTGGATACCCCAAGCCCAACATGAACCTATAAACTAGTCTACTACTGATGAGCTTATGTGATTGGCCTGATACAATAAATAAGTTGTGTTATTCTGCTTATTTTTGACAGTCAGTTGTCCCTTTTTTTTTATTTTATTTTTTCCAATCTTGTTGATTTGGACTAACTAGAACTTGAAGATATAACTGATGATACACTGATGTTCATGAGGACTTCTTACAAGGCTGATGAGTTTCTAACTAATAATGTGTGATGTGCATTAGATGCAAAATCTGAATTGAACTTAATCATGTTCCAGCTGTCTACTGACTGAACACACCCGCACACACTCTCTCTTTCTCCCTCTTCGTGTGTGTTGTCCTTTACTAATGTAACCATATTATTGACTGGAAATACGCTACCTCACAGTCCTCACCTATTCGTCAGGTAAATCTGTAATTATAAGATGTGAACAAGAAATTGCAATTACAGTTGATTTTAGTAATAGTGTGACAGTTCTAGGTGACAATTTAAAAGAATAAATAATTTTGGAAATCATCTTTTGGATAATCTTGCTTTTGATATTTCTACTTTTGGATACTTGCAAAGCCAAGTATCTCTCAATAAATATGTAAAAAGGGGAATGGCATATGGTCACACATGAATAATGTCTGCTTAAACAAGCAAAATCGAAACTTTCTACAATGCTATCTGTACCCTCGGTCAGTGAAATTAATATATTACTGTGACAATCAAGCTGAAAAGTTATTCTTAATGTTCATGTGATTGATATTTCAAACGATAATTTCTGATGAAAACTTGTACTTATTTATTTATTTTGGTTGATTTCACATTTGTCATGCATTGCCCCCCTTCCCCCCATAAACTCCCCACCCCCAAAACATAAACTCAGTCTTGTTGACTCTTGTAGTCTTTTTGATGTATAGGTCGTGCATTTTCTGCATTGGGAAGGAAAGAGGATGCTCTTTTGGTCTGGGAGCAAGGTTATGAATATGCTGTTCAACAATCTGCAGATTTGAAGCAACTGCTTGAACTGGAAGAGCTTCTGACAGATGCAAAACAAAATAGAAGTACTTGTGAAAACCATGATATGGAGTTCTCTAACTCTTCTTTGCCTGCATCTGAATCCGGGCCTCTAATTTCTATCAAATCAAGTGAGATCTGTAATAATCATAGTAAGTTGAGTAGTGAGTTTGAACAGCAGGGTGAATCAAGTGATACATCTGTGATTCACAGCGAGTCAAACTGTAGATCTGACGTACCTGGTGAGTCAAGTGATAAAGTTAAGAACATAAAGTCTGATAGCCAACCAGATGGAACTTACAGTAGCCAATCAAATGGAACTTATGGTAGCCAGCCAAATGGAACAGATGACTTAAGTGATACATCAGAATCATCCAGCAAATTATCAGTGATTTGCAGCAAATCAAGTGATATATCTGAGTTTCGCAGCAAGCCAAGTGATAAATTTGGCATACGCAATGAATTAAATGATGATGCCAAGAAAAACAAAAAAATAAATGATGATCCCAAGAAGAACAAAAAATTTGGTTTTACTAGGATTCCAAAGGCCAAGTCAATAACTGTTGATATGCGATTGTCAAGGGGAATAGCACAGGTGCGTCTCCAGTCATTTTTGCCACTCCTTTAACCTGTTCCCAACCTCTTGGTTCTTTTGTAGCTAAAATTTTATAGCTATATATAGTTTTAATTTTGTGCGTGTTTTATTTTCTTTTAATAAGGTGTTACTCTTTGGCCTTTGTATGCCGAGGATGTCAAAACTTTACCTTAGTATTTATATACAGAATTTCATGGTTGCATTTTCTCAGATGGCCTTATAGTTATGTCCTCTTTAGAGTTTTGGTTTCACCTCTTACACACAAATATTGTCAAAATTATATGTTATGTCCTCTTTCTGTCCCTTGTTACGAGTCTTATGACTTACTGCATATGGTCTTGTGTGGATGATTAATTTTTTCACGGCTGACATACTAGTGGCTAGATCTGGGTGATGATGATAATTGGTTAGGAGGACAGTTATAAATGTAAACTATGAGGTACCTAAAAAGTATTAAAAGGCAACTAAAATAATATTGAAGCTATGAAATTGCACCAAGATACAAGTATCATTTGAAACCTTTTCGCTGCTTTTAGGTGATAAATTAATGTGCGTAATTGGGGCTTGGCACCATGTGGGTCAACAAGGTCTGCCTTGTGTATTGATTTCCATTGGGGCCCGCCTAAAGACTTGGTTCAGCTTATCCTAAGAATGGAATCTAATGGCTAATGCCCACAGCGGAAGCCCATTTTAGGATGGTTGCCAAGGGCATCTGTTTTATTCCATTTTAGGGCAGCTTGGTGGTGGTACCTCAGAAAGACGCTTCGAGTGTGTGATCCTAGTATTAGGTGAGCTTGGCGTTAATTGATGGTGTGGTTGAGGCACCACATACTCTCTATATTGGACCCTTAGGTACTCTTTACTTGGCAGCCAGAGTTGGGGGCTAGCTGTGGTAATCCTCTCACTCGACTGGTTAAGGGTGACAGCCGGTGTCTTAGCCAACCTAAAAGAGAGGGGATTCCATGTCACTGAGACACACGCCACAGTAGCATGTGCTCCATCCTTTATCAACGAATTGGCAGTTATCTTTTTGTTAGTTTAGTTTGTTAGCCTAGTGACACAAGCTTTACGAGCTGGCAGGCCCTACCATGATGTCAATTATGATCGGTGCCAACTCCTATGGTTTAGCTGGCTCTCATATCCCTAAAAGCCCAGATAAGGCTAATAATTCAAGTTTTCATGGGCTACAAAATCCATGGAGCCTTAAGACAGTAATTCATTTCCCTTTGATCTTATATAACCTCTCTCTCACATTCACATGTTGGCTCCTCTCACTCAATTCTGGCACTTTGTTCATCCCAATCCTTTGCGTGTCATAATAGTATTTAACCATCCCTTAACAGTGCAATTCATTATTTACTCATTTCTCATTGCAATTGGTCAGATAGACCATTGACTATTACATTACCAAAATAGGTTTCATTGTCCATTAAATTGGTAGGTCTGAAGTTGTATCTTAACACATATGTGGTTGTGCCACGGAGGCATGTTCCCTCGTCGAGTACTTTAACTTCTTAAAAAATAGCTGCTTCATGTGCGAAATTTACTGAAAACAAAAAGTGTATTGCCCAATATATGTCCACCTACACAGTCCTCTAGGTGTGGGGAGGGGATGATTAGAGACAGGTAAAACATTTGACAAATTTAGTACCAACTGTTAACCACCATGTACTCTAAAAGCTTAAACTGTTAGAGATGGTTAATATACCACCATTTACTAAAAGCTTGAGCTGAAATGATCCCCTCTAATTCGCCCCCTCACATATGGCCAAATTTTCATTCTGTTATGTGTTTTTATTTTAATAATCTGGGCGAAGGTGAGGTTTGACCTTAGGACTTTGCCTGCTTTGATACCATGTTAACCACCACCTACTAAAAGCTTGGGCTGTTAGAAATGGTGTAACTTAATTGTATATATTCTCTTAAAGATAACCTATAATTCTTGTGAATTAATCAACTCTCAAACTCTCGGTTCATCCAATCCTACTTGTATGACCTCCCTGGTAATTTTTACAAACAAAATATAATCTTTAACAATATATTATTGCAATTAATTAAAAAGTGATTGGTCTTAATAGATTGCCAAATTTGGATTTCCAATATCTACTAAATGGGGGATTGGGAATTTGGGAGTTAGTACACTCCGTATGGAGCCAGAATTTGTTTCAGTGGGGTGACACACTAGAGTTTTGACAATAATAAGTAAAAAAAATTTAAACCAAAATAATAATTAAAAAACTTATTTATTGATTTGTAAGATTTTTCATTCAATACATTTATAATCATTCATGACAAATTTCATGTTTTGAAACCCTGTTGCGTGATAACCTCAGTACTTGAAGAAGCGCGATTTTTGTGCATTGATTATTATTATTGTTAATATTATTATTATACCATGGTAGGTGACACGCACAGTCACCTTTTGTTGCTAGTGGGACTTGAACCTTGACCTTCTGCTTCAGAAGGTAGATGAAATACCTCTAGGCTACAACTATTGGTGGTGGTTCTTATGCATGGATCAATTCCTGCTTAAACCTAATTAATATTATTAGGGATGTGACACTGCACTTGATTTTTTAAATCAAGGAGATGACACAATTACCTTTAATAAACCGGAGTGCAAGAGCAATATTTGGGATAATTGTGGAGTGTTGGAGTGCTTTTGAAGGATAATTGTCTTATTTCCATTTTTTAAAAAGCAAGTGGAGCGTAGAGCACATTAGTGGAGTGCCCCGTATTTTATAGGGTGAATGAAATTCACTTGAAACTAGTGCATGATTCATTATTATAGGTGCCGAATCATGCTTTTGTATCCCTAATAAAATTTAGTAAATATAATTAAAAAATTTGGATTTGGTATTCTTATATTGATAAATCCATAGCTTTTTAGTGAATTACGTATTTTCCAGTATACATGCTTTATTGATCACCTCCTTCCATGATGCTGCAACTGAAACTTTGATCTATTGTGTATTTCCAAGGATTCTGAAATAGTTTTCCTGCATCAAGGTTGACCTTTTGGGGAACCAACTTTATTTGGGACCTTTGCTTTACATTAATAAATTAACCAAGTTTTTCATAACCATTTTACCAACACAGGCAGAAATGGCACATAAAGATGATGTACCCAATGAAAACAATATGATGGACATAATCTTTTGAAAGCAATTGTTAAGTTAAAAAAAAAAAAAAAATGGTAACTGAAAATTCTGTTGTCTCAAAGATGCAAATTATACAATAATGATCTGGTATGTGATACTTTTGAAGAAATGCTAATTAATATTATGAAACTCTCTCAAATAAGAGGCAAAGGCTTTGTCTAGTTGAGTTGTATGGTCAAGGAGGTCATCATTTGGATGAGTGCATGCTGAATTTTTAAATAAATGGGAAATTTGAAAATAACTCGAATTAAAAATTAAGGAATTTGAAGACATAGGTGTTTCGTGATAATACTTACTGGTGGAATGCAATTTTCAGTTGGGAAGTGCTTTGTTGATAAACTACCTAATATTTCTTGATTTAAATAATATTATGAGTAATATTGCATTTTTTTTCTTCCCCTTTCTCTCTCTCTCTTCCCTACTTGCTGTTTTATTGTCCATATTAAAATTTAGCAAATAATTGAATGTCGTTCTTGAGCTTTTTTCGGAAGAAGTGGCATTATTTTTCGTTCCATCAAGTTTATGTATTATTTAAGGTTTTTTTTTTCCCCAGAAGGTATATTATTGAAGTTCTTATTTATAATTTGTCACATGTTTCATGGAAGTGTTCTCTTAACATTGTTCAATTGCAGGTCAATGAAGGGAAATATGCTCTTGCCATATCCATCTTTGACCAGGTTATACTTATTTATTTTAGCCTTTACATTTGTCCCATGGAGAAATTTTCATGATCCTTGTTTCGTTCTTTCCTTCATTTTTCGTTTTCTGCTTTTAGGGTGGAAAAAGGGAATGCTTTGAGTTTGAGTAATCAACAGTATATTTTTCCATTATCAAGTTTGACAGAACTTTGTCTTACCTTATATTATATACACAGATTCTAAAAGAGGATCCTACTTATCCTGAGGCGCTAATAGGAAGAGGAACAGCATATGCATTTCAACGAGAACTCGATGCTGCTATTGCTGATTTCACAAAGGTATTCAAAGCTCCAAAATCGATGTGTGCATTAAATATTTTAACTACTTGTCATAAGTGGTTTTTGTTATTTATATCCTAGGCTATAGAATCAAACCCATCAGCTGGTGAGGCATGGAAACGAAGAGGGCAGGCCCGAGCTGCCTTGGGAGAATCCATGGAGGTAAGAGCTTTCCATGTTGTATTGTTCATTTGATCTTTACTTATCAAAAAAAAAAAAAAAAAAAAAAAAAATGTTCATTTGATCTTTAGTTTCTTTCATGCCACAGCCATCTTTGGTTATTGGGCAGTTTGTTTAGAAGTCATTTCCTTGATGGTTCTGATAACATGTTCAAAGTTTTGTCAACCTCCATAAATTTATTGAAACCAATTTTAGTTTCAAAACAGTTTAAGTTCCACATCAAATTGATTTTACAGTCTTATATTAGTTAAGGTTTTATTTATTTATTTTTTAACTTTCATAGACTTCCATCTTTCCACAACTAAAGCGTTCCTAGAAGATTAAAATTTTCTAAAGCCTTCCTAGAAGATGAAGTTTTCTCTGATTTTAAGCACGCCCTAGATCTCTATTTAAAGTGATTTAGTGACATAACTAACTGTGTTTTTGGTTGAGAGTGTTTATTGGCAAGTCTAGTCAAATAGGCAGTATTCTAGGGTAGGCATTTGGACATTTATGCAAGCCTAACACACAGGTTGCCTTCTGACCATCTTAGCAAGACCAATTGGGTATCACCTTGCCAGGGATATAACCGCTATTTCCTAATTCATTCTTTTTCCAAATTAGACAAAACTTATCCTGTTATGTCCGCCATAATCTCCTTTCTTCCAAGTATATCAACTTACAAATGGTAGAGATGGACAGGGAAGGAATGGCAAGTGAGAATTTGTAGAGAGCATTAGTTCACTTACCCCGATGCAACTATTTTCATACACCATTCTGTAAAAAAAAAATATAGATTTTGTAGACCACATTTTTACATCGACCGAATCACCCTTATGCAGAGAGAGGGAAATCAAGAAAATTTTGACAACTTGAAGGAACTTCCCCCCTAAATACTTTCCCTCGAGTTTGGCAGAAAATTCTCTCATACCAATCTTGAATTATTCTTGTGTAGCTGAGCTCTGGACACAACCTCACCAAGAGCATTTGCTAAAGGACTCGATTGTTTTATGTGGAAGTGCAGGATTCAATTGTTATATGTCGAAGTGCAAATTTGAATTTACTTTCCTTTTTTCAATAAAGGAGTAACAACCACAATATGCTACATGCAATCATATTGGTGGGATTATGTGCAATATTACTGCTTTGTTATTTTTTCACTATTTATTTCTCTTGTACGTCTTTGTCTTGTCATTTATGCATGAACCCTCTCTCTCTTTGTCTCTCTCTAGATTCCAATTTCTTGTATCATACATCAAATTGAGTACCATTTGCTTCTTTATTCTTTCAATTTGTTATGTGGATGGATTGTAACGACTCACTCCACCACATGGTATGATATTGTCTGCTTTGAGCCCGAGCCCGCGTGGTTTTGCTCTTGGGTTTTACCCCAAAAGGTCTCATACCAATTGGAGTGTACAAATCCTACATATATAGCTCTCCCCCTTTCCACACTAAGGCAATGTGGGATTGTGCACCTGTAACTCGCCAGTGCCTCTTGCACCCGCCCACGGCACACTCGCCTACAAGGTTGCCACAATCACTCCCCCTTAGGGGCCTAATGTCCCCTTTGGCCACACTTCCGGCTAGGTTTGATACCATTTGTTACGACCCACTTCACCACATGGTATGGTATTATTCACTTTGGGCCCGAGCCCGTACTGTTTTGCTCTTGGGTTTTACTCCAAAAGGCCTTATACCAGTTGGAGTGTACAAATCCTACATATGCACTTTGACTTTCCACACCCAGGCGATGTGGGATTGTGCACTTGTAGTTTGCCCAGTGTGACAGCCTGCCAGTGCCTCTTGCACCCGCCCACGGCACACCCACCCACAAGGTCGCCACATGGATTATGTGTGAACTTTCAGTCATGGATATCGGTCTTGATTTACACAAATTAGTTTTGGGATGTTGAAGTTCATTATTTAATTTCTCAATTGTTTGTCTATTTTTCCTCATTGAGTTAGTGGATGTTTTCCCTAGTCGGTGAATCCTTGTGACTCGAGATATAGGTTCTTGTCTCTTCTCTTTTTTTTTTTGGATGTGACACGCCAAGGGGACACGGCTGTTCAGTAATTTTTTTTTTTGAAGGATGAAGATGTTATATACGTTTGTGTATTCATTCAAAGATATATATATATATATATATATATATATATATATACACACACACACACACTGTTCACTTGCTCACTGGTGTGCAAGGAATTTATGCACGAATTAAATCTAACCGTTAGATATAAAAGAATAAACTACCTTTTTAACTGCCCAATGGAATTTAACGGTTAATACTTGAGGTGTGCATACATTTTCCTGCACACCAGGGAGCAAGTGAACAATTCTGTATATATACACATATTTTGGATGTGACACGCTAGAGGACACGGCTGTTCTGTAATTGTTTTTTTCGAAAGTTGAAGATGGTATATAAATGTGTGTGTATCCATTCAAAGAGATATATAGGTGACAAAGATCTAGATATGTATATCTGAAAAGATGGGGGTATGAGAGGAATCGCTGGAAGAGAGAGAGAGAGAGAGAGAGCCGTGAATGAAAGAGAGGAAGATAGATAGAGAGTAAGGTGAAGAGATGGAGGAGATGAGATAGACATCATTCTGGAATGAAAGAGTCACAGACCCATGAATGAAGGGGAGTGGGGAAGAGAAAGGGGATAAAATTACAATCTAATTCTTCTTTACAACGTGTTTGTTTACAAGGATAAAAGTTTTTCCTTTTGGATATAAAGGTATATATTTTTTATTTGTATTTTAGTAAAATTTGGGCGTATGGACCTTTATGCTTTTTAAAAGAAGTATGGACTATCTGGTGGTCTAATTTAAATGGGTTATGTTTATGAACTTATCACATAAAGCGGGAGCGTGAGAGTGTAAGAGTTTAAATTTTTTGAGAGTGGTAGCGTTTGTATATGTACTTATCTCATGCAATACAGTATCATCATATTAATTTATTAAATAATATTTTTAGTTGAGTTTTTATTTTATTTTATTTTTTTATAATAGGACCATTTAAACATAATTAAATATTTTTCTAAACTGATTTTATTAATTATTTATAAGAATATTATATAAAAATATTTTGCAAATGAAAAGGGGTATGGTTGATTCAGGGGAAAAAAAAAGGGGCTATGGTTGACCGGTAAGTATTTGTGAGTTAGATTCTTACCTGTGCACTTAAGTGGCTTGCTTTTATCATCATAAGTACTTAAACAGTTGCCTTTGGGTGTGGAAGTCTAGAGAGCAAACAAGACTTTAAAGGCTTGATAGCTGGATTGCACGCAAATTCGAATAGAATACGTGGATTGCAAAACTCAATTCACGAACTTTAAAATCCAATTCATGGATTCTCCGCGAATCTGCTCCCAAGTTGCAAATTAGCTCGTGGAGCTTGGGATCGATTGCCCTATGCGCGAATTATGTGATCTAGTTTATGAATATAGATTACAAATTTAGCAAAAAATAAAATTTTATATATAATAAAAAATTTATTATTATTTTATTGCCGTGTCCATATCCTATTTTTTTGAAATTTTTCGTATCGCAGTGTCTGTGTCTATGCTTCATAGGGCAGTGTCTGTGTCTATGCTTCATAGGTTCTTGTATGGATTTGACGAGGAATAAAGCAATTTATTTCTGCAAATCTGGGAGGTTTTTTATTGATTAGGTTCTTGTGTGGAGAGAGCATTATTATTTCAAAATAGATGCACAGCAACTTCAAGCAGTTGGTAATGCCATTCAAATGTTGGAGCTAGTGACTTCCTTTATTCTCTTGACACTACAAGGTAGGGTTGTGAGTTTTGGTGATGTTTGAGCTTGGAGCTGCTCCTTAAACAGGTTTTAGATTATTCTGTGAACAACTATTGTATGGCACTGGAAGACTTTTCATGTGTTGCAGTTATGAATGGTTGCGTTGTCATTTTGCGATAAAACTTTTCTATTTTATTTTATGGCTGTTAGTTGTTACAAGACTCTTTTAAATCAGATTGGAAAATGAAGGATGAGGCTCAGGAAGGCTGTTTATGTTTATTGAGCATATTAGAATTTAAATTAGGTGAGAAAATTAGAGTGGACTTGCATGTTAATCGAGCATTTTAGAATTAAATTTTGATTTAACTTTTACCTGAATGAATCAGTTTTTTAATTTTTTATGCATGTGACTGAAAATTTTCAATGCCTTTTCTTATACATAACCCATATACACATATTCATGGCATATTTTGATTACCTTTTGATACCAGGCCATTTCAGACTTGACCAAGGCGTTAGAGTTTGAGCCGAACTCAGCAGATATATTACATGAAAGGGGTAACTTGCTTAATCTCAGACAACTTATTAATTCTGGTATAACTAGATTCAAATTCCCTCAAGGGATGATGATTGTTATGCACATCACACAAGAATGTAATGGTGGTTCCACGGCTTCCCAGTGCTTACTAGATTTGGCGTTAATGCAGGAATTGTCAGGTTCAAGTTTAAGGAATTCAATGCTGTTGTTGAAGACCTATCTGCCTGTGTAAAGCTTGATAAGAACAACAAATCTGCGTACACATATCTGGTTAGTCTGTAACATAAAAAGCTTTGCTGGCTGTGGAGTCCAATGGAATCAGACTGATAAAATTCACGCACATTCTTTTCTTTTCTTTTCTTTTTCTTTTCTCAAAAGAAATAATTTTTGTGATACAAATTTTAATTCTTACAGGGTTTGGCGTTATGTTCACTTGGTGAATATAAGAAGGCTGAGGAAGCACATATGAAATCAATTCAAATTGATCAACATTTTCTTGAAGCATGGGCTCATCTAACACAGGTATCGATGAATAAGTACTCGGTAAAATTCCCCTATAAGCATCAAAGTCAATTCAAGCTATAGCTGAATGCATCTGCTGTCATACCATAATGAAAACCTGGGAAATAGATTATACACATGTTTTAGTGCAAATTACTCAACTCAACACTGACTCTGCATAAATTCTTCTAGTTTGCTATATGTAAGTCATTTTTATTGAAATTTAAGGTATTTATGTCCTTTATAACGGCCTCTAGCTGTATTCTTTTGCCTCCCCCTCCTGTCCTCTTGGCATCTTTAACTTGAATCAATTCACTCTTTTGTACCAGTACATTAATTAGTCCATATTGCCTTTTGCCTCATCACACCAATAAATGGCTTATCCTCTTACCTTTAATGGGTGACAGCGTGACACCTCTAACTTCCTATTAGTTCATTTGTTGGTAATTTCATCTTTAACATAAAGCATAACTGGTACTTATAAAGCATAACTGGCGGCGTTACTGTTTTATAGAAAATTTTCCTTTGGTCTGGCCTTTTAGTTCGAACTGTTGATGAAACAAAATTTTGCGAAAACTAAGCTACACAATTACTTCTGGGGACTTTTGGATTTTATTGGTCTTTTTTTTTGGTGAATCTTGGGCCCATGATCTACCAGGAAGAAAAAGGAAAAAGAGAAATAGAAAATTTTAGTATATGGGTCCGAGAAAAGAAGATAATAATGTTACAGTGCAGATAAGTGCCAGTGTCATTATGTGCAGCTATTTTTTACATGATTTGTGTGGATCAAATTGTTTGACACTTGAAAACCATGATATCATCAGATTGTGAATTTCTTGTTGTAAAGATGTTGATGTTGCATTTTGCCAGATAAATTATTAATTTGTTAGCATCACATAAATGCTGGGTACCTGCTTGTTTCTAGTGAGCATCGTTGATATTCATGGGGCATATACATTCTAGTTTAGTAGGCTCTACTTCTTCAGATTTTATTGTCATTGTCATAAATTTAAAATTTTATACAGTTTTTGTTTCTGTGGTTTCCTAGTTATGCTATTCTTTGCACTATGTGAATGAATTTAGGTTTTGGATAACATTCATGTATTCTATTTCATTAGAAACATGTGCAAGCAGTTTATCACAATTATTTTATGTGTCACTTAGTTTTGACAGGTGGTGTTGTGGTGAATGTTTGATATGTTTGCAGTTCTATCAAGATTTGGCAAATTCAGAAAAGGCTTTGGAATGCCTTAATCAGGCTTTGCAAATTGATGGGAGGTATATGTTGTGGATATGCATATTTGAACTTGATATTTTGGTGTTTGATTTCCAGTGTGATGCCTACTCTTTTGACACTCTTTTGACTTATGTTACATGGGATTCGGCCCACTTGGGGATGTGTCTAATCATCAAATTTATCAAATCTCCAAAGCAGGGGTGCAACTCAGGCGGGTATAAAACAATCAGTTGGGTGGGTTGAGGTGCAACTGAAGGTATAAACACTCAACCCCCAATGGGACATTCAACCCAAGCTCCCCAACCCTAGTCCAACCCATAATCGAAACTTTGAATTAAGCTTTGGTTGGAAAATTCATTTTGAAGATAGGGTTGATATTGGGCTAGCCTTAGGTAGGGTAGCACCTTAGCATAAAAAGTTATAAAAACTGAATATAAATTTGAAAAAAGGTATAACCAAGCTCTAATGAAATTTGTTATTCAAAGGACTAATATGCAAAAAGTCGAGATTTAATAAAAGAAAGAAAGGTTGATCATATTTATAAATGTATATAATATATATATATTTTTTTGATAAGTAAAATATATTAGAAGGTGTTCAAAAGGGGAACGTGTCCTAGGCTATACAAAAAAACTGAATCTATGATCTCAAGGAGCCCAAAAAGTCCACTATATCCTCAATTGAGGAAAAATCTCTCCCCCAACCCCAACAGAAAATAGTACAAATAATAGAAAATTTCAACACCCCAATGGAGGACTCCTTCCCATCAAAAATCTTCTATTCCGTTCTTTCCAAATGCTCCACCAAACACAAAAAGGGGTTACCCTTCAGAAGACTCTCGCCTAAGCCCCCGACCCATTTGCCCCTCCAAAAATCCAGCAATTCCCGAGATGTTCGAGGCATAACCCAATGAATACCAAACAAATAAAAAATGAGACTCCAACAGTCATGAGCCACAGGACAATGCAGCAGTAGGTGATCCACCGACTCCCCATTCAACTTACAAAGACAACACCGATTAACAATAATATGTCTTCGCTTCCTCAAGTTATCCAAAGTCAAGATCTTACTCGAAGCTGCAGTCCACACAAAAAATGTCACCCTAAGAGGCGTCTTGGACAACCACACCGTCTTCCACGGGAAGGAAACACCATGAAAACCGGATAGGCACACAAAAATAGACCGGACCTAGAACATCCCCTGAGAAGAGGGCACCCAAATTAGGGAGTCAACACCAGTGCCCTCCACCTCCTGTTTGTACAAGAGAGTCAACAAGCCAGCGACATCATCCAACTCCCAATCCTGAAAAGATCGCCGGAATCGCACATCCCAAGATAACTCCCGCTATCAAGGCGATAGTAGTTAGCAACCATAGCATGTTTGTCAACAACAATCCTGAACAGCCTTGGAAGCAAAAGAGCTAAAGGCCTATCCGCGCACCAGGGATCCTCCCAAAACTGGACAAACCTTCCATCCCGAATTTTGAATCTAACATGTTTGGAAAACTCGTCCCATCCTTTTCTAATGGCCCTCCACACCCCTACTCCACTAGCAGACCTGGCCTAGCTGACCACCCCCCTCTCCCCTCCCCAAAGCGACAAGAAATAACCCTTCTCCATAATCTATGCCTTTCACTGCCGAATCTCCAAAGCCACTTACCGAGGAGAGCACTATTAAAGGGGGCCAATCTCCTAATCCCAAGTCCGCCCAACTGAAATGGCCTGCAAACCTGCTCCCATCTCACAAGATGATACTTAAACTCCTTTGCACGACCCCCCCAAAGGAAGTTTCGTTGAAGCATGTCATGACGTCCAACAACCGAGGCTGGAACCCGAAAGAGCGAAAGAAAATACGTTGGGAGGCTTGACAAGATACTCTTCACTAACGTAACTTTACCACCCTTGGAGAGATATTGCTTTTTCCAACCAGCTAATCTTCTCTTAACCCACCCTCCTGGCCGAGTCCTAACTTCCCACCCTCCTGGCCGAGTCCCCCAGTGGCAAACCCAAATACGAGATAGGGAAACGTTGTGTCCCACACCCTAAAACAGCAGCCAGAGTGTCTACCTCCTGAACCTCCTCCACGGGGACAAGCATACTCTTGCCCACGTTGACTTTCAAACCAGAGACAGCCTGAAAGCAAACCAAAACACATCTCAGATACCTCAACTGGGACACCTCTGCCTCGTAAAAAACAATAGTGTCATCCGCAAAGAGCAAGTGAGAAATCGCTATCTGCTGAACGGAGTCAGGGCCGATCTTGAAGCCCCTGATAAAACCCAAGTCCACTGCCCTTCTCATCAACCTACTAAGAGCCTCTATAACAATAATAAAAAGGAACGGGGAGAGAGGGTCCCTCTGCCTCAGACCGTGAGAATTGCCGAAAAACCCCGCAGGAGACCCATTCACCAACACTGAAAATCTGACAGTGGAGACACATGAAACAATCCATTTCCTCCATCTCTCACCAAAGCCCATCCTCTCCAACAGGTAGAATAGGAAATTCCAGCAGACATGATCATAGGCTTTCTCGATATCTAGCTTACAAAGGACACAAGGAGCCCCACTACACAATCTAGAATCCACACATTCACTGGCAATAAGAGCGGAATCCAGGATCTATCTACCCCCAATGAAAGCATTCTGAGACTTAGAGACAACTCCATCCAAAACCTCCCTCAATCGAAGTGCAAGGACTTTTGCAATGAGCTTGTAAATGCAACTAATCAGACTGATTGGTTGAAAATTCTTAGGAGTAAGGGCAATAAAAGATGTGTTCAGTGATTTCTCAAACTGCCCCGTGGAATGAAACTTATGAAAAGTGCCCATAACCTCGTACTGGGCCACCTCTCAGCTCTCCAACAGAAATCTTATAGTAAAGCCGTCTGGGCCTGGAGCCTTATCACCATTACAGCTCTTAAGAGCCTTCAGCACCTCTTCCTCCGAAAAAAGATTTTCTAACCCATCTCTTTCCAATGCAGAAATAGAATCAAAGTGAAGATCATCAAGACGTGGCCTCCACCGAAGAGGCTCAGAATAAAGCTTTTGGTAGAAAGAGACAATACTGCTACGCATCTCCTCCTCCGTAGTCAAAACCGCACTATCCACACACATCTACCCAATGTGATTATTCCTCCTATGAGCATTAGCAGTTCTATGGAAAAACTTGGTATTCCGGTCTCCCTCTTTGAGCCATAAGGCCCGAGATTTCTGACGCCACGAAATTTCCTCCAAAACTGCAATCTCCGCACATTCTGCCTGACAAGCTGCTCTTCTACTGCGTTGGGATTCAGAAAGAACACCCTCCCCTTCAAGTCTATCAAACTCAGCAATATCAGCCAATGCCCTATTCTTTCTCCACTCCAATCACCCAAAAACCTCCTTATTCCACCTTTTGAGGTTATTTTTCAGAATACAAAGCTTTCCTGCAAGAATAAAACTCGACGTACCCACCACCAGCTTCTCCTTCCACCACGAATGCACAAGACCCTGGAAGTTATCCGCACGAAGCCACATATTCTCAAATCTGAAAGGAGTGCAACGAGATCTCAACCCTCTACAATCTAAAACCAAAGGAATGCGATCCGAAGTCACCCTAGCCAACACAGCCTGAACAACATCCGGGAACTTCTCTTCTTACTCACTGAAAATCAAAAATCTATCAAGGCGAGATAAAGTTGGTGCTTCTTTTCCACTGGACCAAGTGAAGGAAGCTCCCTCAAGAGGGAGATCAATAAGCTGATGACCATCAATAAAGTCAGAAGAGTGCATCATAGCCTAAGTCCACGGACCTCCTGTAGATCTCTCCGCCGGGGATCTAACCACATTAAAATCACCTACCACGCACCAAGGAAGAGACCACCTCCCCTTCACCCCACTCAACTCCTCTCACAAACCATCCCTCACATCATCATCATCAACCGGCCCATACACCCTAGAAAAGATCCAAGTGAAACCATCCTCCTCCATCACAAAGGCACAAGACAGAGAAAAAATCCCCCTAGAAACATCCACCTTAGCCATCCATCTTCTATCCCACATAATAAGAACACCGCCTGAAGTCCCAACAGAATCCAGGGCCTCCCACTCAACAAACTGGTTACCCCACAAACTCTTCACTATCCGATCATTCATAGAATCAATCTTTGTTTCTTGAAGACACACCAAATGCACCCCCCATTTCCTCACCGCCATCTTCACCACCTTTCGCTTGCCCGGACCATGTTGGGTTGAGATTTACAACTTGAACTCAATCCTAAATATAAGAATAGTTTCCCAAGCTTAAAATCAGATTGGGTTTGGGTCAGCCAGTCCAAGTTGCACCCCTATTTCAAACTCGGCTATTTATTCTCATTATTTATTTAATTTATTTTTTGGAGTAAAAAAATGTTTTAACATGTTTTAGAGTAATAATGCAACAAGAAGGAGACACAATAAGGATGCTTTATCTACCATTATAAATATTGTAGATATACATGTCATAAATGTCACGTGTCTTAAACGGGTACAAAACATATTTGTTAGAACGTATATAGGTGTATTTTGCATTTCTTATAAGGCATTGTTGGTTTATTTTCCTTGCAATATAAATTGTTATATAAAACAAGTGAGAGAAGGTCAACTGCATGACTCTCTGAAATATTTAAACCCCATACACAATGTTTCTTCTCTGTAAATCCTAAATTCAACATGGCATCAGGGCGGGTTTGAGATGTGTGGTTATCGTTGGTGACATCATCATCACCGTTATCATTGGTGACATTATCGTCGCCGTTATCATTGGTGCTGATTGTGAACGTTGTGTAGTGATCGCTGTAGATCCTTCTTGTGTGCTGGCAATTATCTCTGCTGATCGCCATTGTTGTCGGTCTTTACTAAAGCTCTAAGTTATAAGCAGTTGAAATTTATTTGTTCCAAGCTGGGATTACATGATATATACTCGCCAACTTGAGGGGGAGTGTTAGGATGTATATAGGCGTATGTTGTATTTCTTATAAGGGCATGTTGGTCATTTTCCTTGCGATATAAATTATATAAAACCAGTGAGAGAAGATCGACTGTGTGACTTTCAAATATTCAAAACCCATTACGCAGTGTTTCTTCTTTGCTGTAAATCCTACATTCAACAGTATTTTGAAGAGTCCATCTAAAATAGCTTTTGACACTATTGGAGATAAATTTGATACTCTTTATGCCTTTCTTTATAGGTTTGCCAAAGCATATCACTTGCAAGGACTTCTTCTCCATGGGATGGGAGAGCACAGGTAATTCTCTATCAACTTGTTGACAATCTATACTTCTGAATACTAATTTGATACCATTGGTGGCCACTTAGTGAGTAGTTATCATGATGTGATGCGCCATATACACTAGTGAAGAATATCTGATCTTAAATTGGTATATATGCAAGGCACTTCGGGAAACATTTTATTCTTGTGAAAAATGAGAAGAAAATCTATCCATTATGTCAAAATCCATTATGTCTGGGCTAACCACAATAATTGTGATGTTTTTAGTTAGATTCTAGTCAGCAATGGGGTGTGATTAGGTCCATGCATATATTTTGGGTCCTTTTATGTTATAAAATGAAGCATAAGCATAAGCGGAAAGCCATTGATGGTAGCAGCCAATCCTGCTGTTTTATTCACTGATTTAGACTGCATGGAGTGGACTAGAGTGCCCAAGATTTTGAGGGGGTGTAGGATGGACTTCAATCACATGCGTCTGGTGGCTAATTGCTCAACCCTCATATAGATGGAATGATATTGGCGCTATTCTTGTTCAATATATTTATACAATGCTCGCAGCTGCCTCTAGTTAGAGTGACCAAAATCAAATAGATTTAAAAGCAAGCTGTTGTAAGATTTATTTTTCATTTCTTAAATAAAGCTGCCACATGGAAAGCATCCACAAGAACCATGTGGGAAAATCGAACTCTCAACCACAAGCTAATGGCTGGTGGTTCCTTCTTCTTGGTGTTTCCAAATAACGTGCATACTGGTCGTATTTTTGCCTGTCCCGTAGTAAAAACACTATAATATTGATCATCAATTGAGATTGCAACCTAATCGGGGGAGATATTGCAAAGAGCTCTGACATTTTTGTTTTCCTAGTTGATGCTCACACACTCACCCCCTCAAGGAATTGTTTACACCTAATAGGAGTCAAACCTTAGACCTGATGCTTCATGAGGCACCAGGGCCTTGTGACTTACCTACTTGAGCCAACCCTTGGGGTTAGCTCTGACATATTCTAATCAAGACAATTGGTAAAAGGTCTTCAAATTACCTCAGTATAATTACCTTTTATGCTTCTTGTCAGCCTTTTAATATTGGGATCATAGGCTTTTGTTGAGACAAATATTATATGATTACAACTCAATAAATTAAAAGAAGAAAAAGAAAACAAAAATACATATGAACAAGGTCATTTTATAAAATTTCAATAAATATTTTGAAACCCTTGGGGGATTTAGGCTAATGTTACCTGAAGTTGGTATCGGCAAAGTATTGAGCACTTTGTTTTACTTAGGTAACTGTTGCTCCTTTTATTGATTTGATGTTCTATTAGTGGAACGCTACCCTTGACCTGTTCCTGTTCAAAATCAAAGGTCTTCGAAGTTATATGTTTCTTTTTCTCCTTCACATTTCATGTTCTGGATATTATTTTATTTTTTCTTCCCCCCCCCCCCCTGTCTCTCTTCTTCTCTCTCTCTCCTCTTTTTTTTTTTTGGGGGGGGGGGGGTGGGGGATGTTAAATTAAGTTTATTATTGTTTTTGTAACGTAATTCATTATTATAATAAAAAGAGAATTGTGCTTTCTTTCTGTATGTAATTCTTTACATTTCTACCACTGGAGCCCAGCTAGTATAATTTATCCTCCCTCAAAGGGGAGGTAAGGAGTTTGAATCCTATAGTGGACATTTGTGGGTGTGTTTGAGTATTACCCAACCAAAAAAAAAAAAGAAGTCTTTCAATTTCTTTTCATTTTTGCCTCATATATTGATATTGATTATTCTATGCTTATTCCGTCTCCACCTTACTAATGTTTTTATCCTAATTTATCAAATAGTAACTATTCTCTCTTTGACTGTAGCCTTGAAAATATTTGGATAACAACAATTCCATTACTAATTTAAATAATCATTTTGTTCCAATCTTACGCCTTAGGTTCGCCCATAATCCTTAATATCCCGTCTAAGTTTTTTATATTATCTTCACCCTTTTATTTCATGCCACAACTTTAGTTGTCCAATATTCATTTCATTTTTTCCCCTTTATCTTGTTTCTCAGTACCTATAATGTTTTATTTTCATTATTGTCCTTTATGAAATTAATAATATTTATAATGGCTCTACTTATTCAGTTAATGATTTCATTTCATTTTTAACCTTACAACGTCTACAATACCCATCATGTACTACAATATTTAAATACCATTTTGGCCCTATACCTTGTATGATGCATTGCAGTGCCCCTTATGTCTTATGGTTTCACTTCATTCTTCTCACTCATGTCACTAATATTAATTGATAATAACAACAATGCTATTGAGTAATGGCAATACTGTTTCCATTCTTTCCCTTAGCAGCAATTGGTAGTGGTGATAATGCCATTACTTAATATAAAAAAAGAAACTGATATTCATGTAACTCTTCCACCATTTTTTTTTTTGATAAGTGTAACTCTTCCACCTTTTCTTTTCATTATTGCCATTAGTAGTGATCGATAAGAACAATGCCATTTATTAAATATGAAAAGATAGCCAGCCAACTTCTTCTTTTTATTTATTTATTTATTTTTATTTTTATAAATTTTGCTCTTCAATAATTACATTATATATTGTCCTTGATATTTATTTGTAGGGTTCAATAACCAAATGGGACTTGGGGTTGTGCTAAATATAGAAAAAGATATATCTATTTATATTAATTATACATAGCAATTATAATCAATTTTTTTTTTTTTGGTAAAGATTTATATTGTACCTGAATTTAATTTGCTTAATGGTATTGGGCATCGTTGGCCTGCTAAAAAGGATGGCAACCACTGGTTGTCTGTTTGTGTCTGGGGGGTTGTCCAGCTTCCCATAGTGACATCCTCCTTATAGAATAGACCGCCAACCTTCCCTGTCCCCTACTGATGTCAGAGTTTTACATAGGTCTCATCCCTAACCCCAAAACAATCCCTGCAACCCCTGAGAAGACACCAGAATGTGGGGAAGTGGGAGAGAATGATGGATGGAGCTAAAACAATGAAGGGGAGGAAGCCCCAGGCTTATCAAACAGGGAAGGATAAATGCATAATTTGTATAGAAAATGAGTTTATTTTAGTACTCTCAATATCACTGTGTGGCATGGCGATGCTAGTTCCTTCTAAATCAAATAGCTCTATATATATTTATATCTATCTCTTTCTTCCGTCTCCCCTCCCTCTTATAAACCAACTGAACCTGCACTTACCCAATTAGGGCATTACCCAACCCAACCCTGTAGGGTCAGCTTATCACTCTACCTATTTACTTCCCCTTTGTATCTACTAGTTAATGTTTAGAGGGAGAAGTTCAGCTTCGGAGTGTTGATATTTATGGTGTAGCTGCCTAAATGTTTCCCTCTCGCTTGCTCGCTCTCTCTCTCTAACCTCTTCTTTTGCTTCTCTGCCATTCAAGGGTTTTTTTCCTTTTTTTTTTTTTTTTTTTGGTTTTAGGGGTAAGTTCTCTGAAATTCAATGTTGTGTTACTTAAATTCAAACCGTATTAAACCACTAAAACAGCCCAAACCCCTTCCCTCCACAATCTTACTCCCCAACCTAGTTCCTCACTGTACTTCATCATATATCAGAATGGTCTAATACCAGCCATTCATTCATATTAGTGCCAGTTTTGAACATCTCAAATAAGGTCAGAGAACCTGCAGAGTTCTTGATATATCTAGAATTTTATGCTTCTACTTTTACTGTGTACTTGATTTCATTTTTGGTTAGAAACTGTCCCTAGCAATGTTGAAATTGTTCTTCCCCCTGGTAAATTAGCTGAATTGAGTAATTGACTGTTGCAGGAATGCCATCAAGGAGTTATCAAATGGGTTGAGGCTTGAAAGTGCAAACATTGAGAGTCTATATTTACGGGCTTCATGCCATCATGCTATTGGAGAATATAGAGAAGCGGTACTTTGAATTATTTTACTCTCTATTCCATGTTAAATTGCTGGGTGTCATATCTGTTCCTTTTGCAGTGTCACTATGATTTACTAAAATTTGATCTTATTCTAAAGGTGAAGGATTATGACGCTGCATTGGATTTGGAACTAGATTCAATGGAAAAATTTGTGTTTCAATGTCTGGCTTTCTATCAGGTTTGGTTTTTTTTAATATTATAACCTATTAGAAACAAGCAACAGTAGGCATCACTATTTCGATATCAGGAGTATGATTTTTTACCCCAAGTTTCTATCTTTGCACTCTTAAAGATTGATTACTTTTGGATGAAACTTAGATCCTTCATTTTGGTCAATTCTTCAAACTCTTAATGGTTCCATTACTAATTTAGCATTATTGCCAAAATATTACTAACTTGTAGCCTTTCTGATGGTTCATGTTTAATATGGATTGTCTAGAAACTGACACATAACTGACATATAGTCGTATTATATTGTGTTTTTTACTTTAAATTCTTTGTGGTTGTAGCCTTTTTCTAATGATAATGGGGGTATAATCTGAAGCCTTTTTTTTTCCCGATAAGTAAAATTTATAAAAAGCACTCAAAAGGGTAGCGTGTCCCAAGGGAACTACACAAGGCCAAAAAGACCCCTAAACTTTCAAGGAGTACACAAAATCTACAATCTCCTCTAAATATCTATAATTTCTCCCCATAACCCAACAAAAAAGAGTAGAAATAATAGAGAACTTAAGCATGAAGATAGGAGTCTCCTTTCCTTCAAATGATATATTGCTTCTTTCGAGCCAAAGACACCACCAGACACACAATGGCGTAACCCTCCAAACATCCCAGACTTGGGCCCCCATTATGTGACCTCTCCAAGCCTCAATCAACCCTCTAGAGGACCTTGGTATAACCCACTGAACACCAAACAAACCAAGCATCAAATCCCAGCACTCCCTAGCCATGGTGCAATGCAAGAGAAGGTGATCCACCGTCTCCTCATCTCTATGACACATGTAGCAACAATTGACCACAACCTGATTCCTTATCCTCAAATTATCCTGAGTCAAAATCTTCTCCAAAACAGATGTCCAAGCAAAGAAAGCCACCTTTAAGGGGGCTTTGGAGCGCCAAACAGCCTTCCACGCCCGAATCCCTCCATGAAACATCTATAGAAGGACTGAACATCAAAGTGACCCTAAGAAGTAGGGACCCACAACCATTCATCAGAATCTCCACTCATGATCTCCTGGCGATAAAGTAAATCCAAAAGACCAACGGCTACCTCGATCTCCCAATTTTGAAAGTGCCTCCTGAAACGAACATCCCAAGACGATCTTCCGCTATCAAGGCGACCACCATGGCTTGCCTATCCGTGGCAGTCTTGAAAAGCCGAGGGAAAGAGAGAGCAAGCGAGCGGTCACCACACCAAACATCCTCCCAGAAACTGATCCTTCTACCATCCCTGAGCCGAAATTTGGTGCGTTTCGAAAAAACATCCCATCTTTTCCGAATGAATTTCCAAACACTAACTCCACCTGGAGTACGCACCTCAAGGGAGCTCCAACCTCCTCTCCCCTCCTCAAATCTACTCGCAATCACCCTCCTCCAAAGCCTATGTCTCTCCACCCCAAATCTCCAAAGCCACTTCCTGAGGAGAGCCTTATTGAAAGGCACCAATCTTGTAATACCCAAGCCTCCGACACGAATCTTACAACAAACCTTCTCCCAAAGAACCAGATGGAACTTGAACTCCTCCCCCAATCCCCTCCAAAGAAAATTCCGCTGCAGCCTCTCAATTCTCTCAGCCACGGAGTGAGGAATATGGAACAACGAAAGGAAGTAAGTAGGAAGACTTGAAAGTGTACTCTTCAATGAGGTGACCCTTCCTCCCTTAGAAAGATTTTGTTTTTTCCATCCCACCAACCTCCTCTTGAACCTCTCCACCACAGGGTCCCAGCTTCCCACCCTTCTCGAGGACGACCCAAGGGGTAAACCCAAATAGGATATAGGAAACGAACCAATGCTACGCCCAAGACCCCCTGCTAAAATTGCGATCTCAGGAACTTCCCCAACAGACATCAAAACGCTCTTTCCCACGTTCACTATCAAACCGGAGACAATTTGGAACCAAACCAGAACACATCTCAAATATCTCAACTACACATCCGTGTCACAAAACACCAAAGTGTCATAAACAAACATCAAGTTAGAAATCTCCAACTGACTAGCTGCATCCCTCCCCACTGTAAAGCCTCCCAGAAAACCCAAGTCCACAGCCCTCCTCAACAGTCTACTAAGGGCCTCCATCACAATAAGGAAAAGAAAAGGAGTTACTTATCAAAAAAACAAAGGAAAAGAAAAGGAGAGAGCAGATCCCCTTGCCATAAGCTCCTCGAACTGGAAAAAAATCCCGTTGGAGATCCATTCACAAGCACAGTGAAGTGAGGACTGGAAATGCAAAACTAAATCCATCGCCTCCATCTCTCACCAAACCCCATCCTTTCCAACAGATAGATAAGAAAACTCCAACTCACATGATCATAAGCCTTCTCAATGTCCAATTTACAAAGGACACCAGGAACCCCACCACACAATCTGGAATCCACACATTTGCTAGCGATAAGGGCTGAATCCAAAATCTGATGGCCTCCCACAAAGGCATTTTGAGAGTCTGAAATAACCCCATCCAAGACTCTCCTCAATCTAAAAGCAGGAACTTTGGCAAACACCTCTTTATTCCATGTTTTAATGTCTTCCTTCAAAAGGCGCAACTTACCCGCAAGGGCATGACTTGGAGTGCCAACCACCCCATATCCCTCCCACCATGACTGAACCCTGTCAATAAAGCCCTCTGCACGAAGCCACATGTTCCCAAATCTGAAAGGGGATATTCTACTCCGCAACCCACCACAGTCCAAAACCAACAGAACATGATCAGAGGTAGGTCGAGCCAAAACTGCATGAGTCACATCAGAAAATTTCTCCTCCCAATCTCCAGAAACAAGGAATCTGTCCAAGCGGGAAAGAGTAGGAGAAGATCTGCCACTACACCAAGTAAAGGATGCACCCTCCGAGGGCTAATCAATCAAATGAAAGTCATCAATAAACCCTGAAAAAAGCTCCATATCCGAGGTCCACCTACCCCCCATCAAGCTCTCAAAGGGATAGCGCACGACATTGAAATCCCCTCCAACACAGCAAGGCAAAGGCCATCTGCTTCTAACAAATCCGAGCTCTTCCCAGAACAGATGTCGTACATAATCCTCCGTAGGGCCATAAACACCCGAAAAGAGCCAATGGAAATCTTCCCCCAAAGAAAAAACGCACAACACTGAAAACCTACCTGCCCAAGAATCCATCTTAGAAACCTATCTTTTATCCCACATAACAAGGATGCCTCCCGAAGAGCCAATAGCATCCAAGGCCCTCCACTCCACAAATCTCCCACCCCAAAGGCTTCTAACAATCAAATCTGACATCGAGGCAATCTTGGTTTCTTGCCAACACACCACAAGAGCTCCCCTTATTTGCTAATTTTGCCTTTTCATGTTTCTCGAGGATGCTATATATATAATATATATATATTTGGTTAAGTACTGGAAAAGTAGAGAGATTAAATGGAGATCCAATTGGTTTTTAAATTATTTTATTATTTGAAAAGCGAGAGAACAAAATCAAAATTGCGAATTAATTTGTATGCTTTTGGTTGGTTTTTATCAGAACTGTAATCATATGAACTTGAAAATTTTCTTCTTTTTCCTTTCCCCAAAGTAGATGCCATCCTAATCTCTGTTTTGGTAGACTTGTCCAGATAAATGTATTGTCTTCATAACCATTACACATTTCAAATACAAACTTGTTGTGCAGTTGAAGAGATGTTCACCCCACAAATTTATGCTTTTGTCTATTCAAATTTCCTGTAATCAATGGATGATTGGAGCTTAGAACAGTACACATAGTCCTTTTCTGATTCTGAACAAGCCTGTCAAAGCTTGTTACGTAGGTGTTTTGTTCTTTTGTTGAATAAGAAATATCAGTATTAGTTCAGATCAGATTTATGTTTCAGATGAACCACTAAAATTTATGTTGTTGAAAGTATATACTTAAATATATATATTTGCTTACAACATAAGAAGTTAGCAATGCCACCACCTGGATTGGATAAGAGCAGCTGTGGTGAGAAATTGACCATGAAACCAGGCAATGCTGGGATCCCAAACCCAGGTTTTTTGTCATGTTTTGCAGACTCCTTGTGTCTTCATCTTGATCTAGTTGCTCATCCCTTGCCATTCGTGTTGGCAAAATTTCCACATTAGTTTTTTGTAAGTACTCAATCATGCAAATGTATATATGTTGAGTTATATACATGCATATGTGAGCACTACAGAAAAACCAGCTTCCTAGTTCATATTTACATGCATATGCGAGCACTATATAACGAGATTCATTACTTTTATGTAATTGTAGATTCTTTTTGAACTATAATAAATGGGAAATTTTAGTGTTGTTTTTCTTACTTTCATGAACTTCTCTTGCAGAAAGAAATTGCTTTATACACTGCTTCAAAGATCAGCAGTGAATTCTGTTGGTTCGATATTGATGGAGATGTAGATCCGCTATTTAAGGTGGGTATGGAAAAATTATACTTCTCCGTTTTTTTTGTTTTTAGTTATTTAATTATTAATTTTTTTATTATTATTGTCTTTATCTTTCTACAACTAGATGCCTCAATTTTAGAGCAGAAGTAACATTTACTCTTTTAGTGTGCCAGCTTCAAATTTGGCTAATGAGAGATTGTCTTGATGGTTAAAGGTTGCTTGCTGGTCAATTGATTTCAGTGAGAGCAGAAAGGCATTAAGTGGATGAGCAATTTCTGAAGTTTGTTTCATTAACAAGTACCCATTATGTACTTATAAAAATAAGTACCTAACATGTCAAAGAACTTTTTAAGATGGTTGTGCTTCCAGCCATGTTTTATGGTACAACTTTTCGATAATAGAAGGATTTCTCATCCATAATAACATATTCACAAAAAAAGGATGTTGAGATTGAATGAAAAATGAGTGCAATCGTGATAAGCTAGAGTTGACACTGGTAGAGGTCTAGATGAGAAGTTTGACTTGGATGATCTGGTCATGGCCAGAGGAAACTATTAACTGCACCAGTGAGGAGTAATTGATCAAGTGAGTATAAGGAAAGGAGGAAGGCTGCCTATTTAGTGTGAAAATTGATATGTAACCTGTCATAAGTTAATTTTCTTTCACAATAAATTTCATTTGTTAGCAACTTTGCTAAATCTATGAATTCTTGAAAAAAAAAAAAAAAATTACTTTCTAGCTCGAAGTTCAGAGGTATTGTGGCTGCCCTTTAAGTTATGGATGGGAGCTGAGAATGACAATTTAGTTACTGTATCACCCATTGTCTGAGTAGAGCCGCATATTTTGGTTCTCCATTAGTTTGATGTGTGGTTATGTGAACATTTATGTTATTGATGTACCATATGATATACACATGAAAGATTTTACAATAATGCGAAATGCTTATCTTAGGAAGTGTGTTCTGCAGTGAGCCCCATTTTCTAAAAAATTGTTGATTATATGTTCTTTCTGTTTTTTACTTTAATTTTTTTCTTTTTCTTTTCAGGAGTATTGGTGTAAAAGATTACACCCCAAAAATGTATGTGAAAAGGTTTACAGGCAACCTCCCCTGCGTGATTCTCTGAAAAAGGGTAAGCTGAGAAAGCATGATTTTGCCATCACAAAACAGAAAAGTGCTCTTTTACAGGCTGCAGATTATATTGGCAAGAAGATCCAGTATAATTGCCCTGGCTTCTTGCCTAATAGGCGTCAGGTGCGTGATATTAAGAACTCTTTTGAAAATAAGCAAATCTCTCTATTTTAGTTTATGGATGTGGGCTCTTTTGTGTTCCCTTTCTTTCTTTTTCTTTCATATCTTCTAATCCATTTTTGGTTTCTTCTTTGGACACTCATTGAAACATCTTGTTTTCCTGAAAATTACTGTTCTTGCCCAAAAAAATTCATTTATTTTAAATATTCTAAAAGTTCCTTATTAAATGTCATCCTACAGGAAGTGGATTGGGTTTGATTTACAAACTGGTGATTCTTAAGTATCCCATTTTGGGATAATAACTAGAATATGGGACCCCATCAATTAAATCAATAATATTGCTTACACAAATATTAATGACATATTCTATATGATCAGGATTTATTTAGGATTTACTTTATTGAATTTATGGAGATGAAACTGTAGAAAAATCAAGGATAGGCAGTATTTTATTTTCATTTCTTTCTCCATTTGTTTAATTGGAAAGTCCGTCGGTTCTTCTCATATTAACCCCGCAGAGACTATTCAGTTGTATGGTTTATGCTTGTTCCCCTTCGAAGGAGATTTTACAACTTCTAGAAACTGTATTGGCAAATTTGCATTAATCGTTGTGAACATCTCCTCTATATTATGTCATGGCAACTGCTATTTCAGCACATCATTTTCATTATTCATTCCCTTTTTAAAATTGTCATTTTCTTACAGACGGGAATCCTCTTGAATCAACAAGTGATTATATAACTCATTGTCATTCCAAAAGTGACCCCAGATAACACAGCAACAAGGGGATGCCTGTTGTACTCTCACATCCTGTTCTTATCTATATTTCATTTGTTTGTTTTGCCTCTCTCTCTCATTTCCTTCTGAAATGGCCAAATACATAAAAATGTCTTTTTTCTTTTAAGGTAATGGTAATCTAAGATCCGTCAACAGTGATGGCAACAGGTTCTTCAAATTGGAGAATGTTCAGTGATTGAATCCTTAGGTTCACTTTTGTGTATTTGTTTTATGGATATTATTTAGAGTTCAACATCTTCTCTTCCCCTTTATCACTTTGTTGTTTGTTAATAGCCATCTACTCCAATAGCTTAAGTTGTTAGAGTGGGTGTAAATTAAATATTTAAATCCTTCAACACACCCCTCACATGTGGCCTTCTTTTGGTCCAACACGTGTTTTCACTTCTAAATCAAGGTGACGGTGAGGTTTGAACATAAGACCTACCGAGCTCTAATACCATGTTAACAATATTAGAGCAAGGTTGGTCCCTTGTTCAAATTTCATTGTCACCCGATTAAAAATTGAAACACGTGTGAGTAGGGCTGTAAATGAACCGAGTGCTTGACGAACGGCTTGGGCTCGGCTCGACAAGGGTTAGGTTTGTGTTCATTTGTTTCGTAAAAGAACCGAACTCAAAATGAATTTTCAAGCTCGATTAATAAACGAGCCAAGCTCAAACAAACCCCTGATCGGCTTGTTTGTTCGTGAACATGTTCAAAAACAGGCATGACAAACGGCTCGTTTAAAGCTTGTTAATATATATATATATATATAGGTTAAGTAGGCTTGTGAGTTGTGAGCCATTTAATTTCATGTAACCCATAAAAAAGTCCAAGCCCAATTCAATCCAACCCACTCATTTCATATTATTTTATCCATACAAGAGCCCAGTCCCCAAGCCCACATCCCCATTATCATTTGTAAGACAGTAGACTCTTATGGCTTTCCCTTATTCCTTCTTTTTCTCACTCACACAAACCCTAGCCGCAAGAGAGCTCTCACTCCTCACACAAATCCTAGCTGCTGCAGAAGTCCAAGAAATTGATGATTCCTCGCACAAATCCTAGTTGTTGGAGAAGTCCAAGAAAACGATGATTCCAAGCTTCCTGATTCGTCACGATCGCAGCTGGAGAACTCCAAGAAAACGTTGATTCCAGGTTTTCCCAATTCATCACAATCGCAGCCAAAGCTCTTTCGCAAGTGCAACTGTGCGAGCAAATTAGTTCTCTTTATCTCCCCTCTTTTCTCATCTATATAATCTCTCATATTTGCATGGATTTTGAAACCTGAAGTTTGGTGTGATTGCTAATGGATTGAGATTAACAACGATTTTTTCCAAATTAGCATATATATATATAAATATATAAACAGACAAAAACACACAAATAAACACGTAGACATAAACAGGAAAATGAGCTTGACTGAGCCGAGCTCGAGCCCGTTCAAACAATGCCAAGTTGAGCTCAATCTTGGCTAGTGAAATCTTGATTGAGCTCGAGCCTAGCTTGAGCAGTCCTCTGAAGTTGATGAGCCATGCCCGAAGACCCCAAAGTGTGTTTCGTTTACAGCCTTACACATGAGGGGGGCGTGTAGAAGGATTTAAATGTTTAAGTTATGCCCTTTCTAACAGCTTAAGCTTTTAAAGTAGATGGTTGTTAACATGGTAGCAGAGCCAAAAATATCAAGTTCAAACCTCACTCTCACCTTGATAATTAAAATTGAAAACACGTGTTGGACCAAAAGAACACCACTCGTGAGGAGGCGTGTTAGAGGATATAAATATTGAAGTTAAACTCTCTCTAATAGCTTGCTTTTAGAGTAGATGGTTGTTAACATTGTTAATTGGAAAAAGTTATCAAAATTTTTGGAAACTACATTAGGTAACCTTGACTTAGAATTGCTACAGGATCACAATGAACTTGGTATCATACTATATAACATTAAAATGTTACTCGTATTTTATGAATACAGATACGGATCATCAGTTTTATGGGATTGATATTACGAATCCTCCATCAATGCATTTTTCATATTTATCACTTGTATTCTTTCACTTATTAATAGAGGTGGTCATTGTTTAAATACACACACACAACACACACACACATATAATAATAATAATAAAAACTGATGTAGCCTTTGGGGTTTCTGTGCCATGGATGTTGGCCGTAGTGACCGTACCACATATATCCTTGTTTTGTTCATGCTTGATAGAATATTGAAACCATTACTAGACCATAAATGTCAAGTTATAATATGTGGTCAAGATTAATGTCCTGTGATCAATGGAGTTAGGTGGATGAGAGAAGTTTTTGGCAATTGAACAAGAAAAGGAGCTATATTTTTGCACCTTATTTGTTTTTCCAGACCCACTCTAAGGAGATGGTTTAATTGTGGACACAACAATTCCTGAAGTTAACGAGCATTATTATGACTCATTCCAAAATTTCACTCATGTTCAAGGACACTGGAAATGTTTTAAAAAGAAAAAGCTTAGTCTAAAGAGGTAATTTAATTGTGGACGGTGTCACACAGCAATCGCTGAAGTCAACAAACGCTATTAAGAGTCATTTCGAAATTGTTCTAACTGATAAGAGAAAATCACATTCAAGGACACTGGCAAAGTTTAAAAGAGAAAATAACAGAACAAGGGGGAAAATGGAAAGGATGGTGGAGTTAGAATTAGAATGAGAAAAGGATTGAAGATACAGTGGTTGCGAACTCTTACTCCATTTCTAGCTACCTTGTTTTAGATGATCCGTATTCGTACTTAGTCCTTGGTTTAATTCGAGCTTGACTTTGAACATGTGTCATTTTACAGAGCACCAGGGCTGAGCTTGAGCAGCCAGTTACTTTGTTTGGACTCAGCTGATTTGCAGCCTTATGCATTCAACACATTATATTTAGAGCGAAGTTGTTATTTAATTTTAGAATCCTTTATATTTCGCTCTTCGTTTTTCTTCATAATATAAGATCATACTAATTCAGTCTAACAATAAAAGCGTCAAAGTTTTTCATTATTTTTTTCCTAGTAATTCCCATTACATTTTCTGCTATTTTAGTTGGACTGTTGAATCTGTTGATCATATATGAACTCTGACATGTACCAGCATCGTATGGCGGGATTAGCTGCTATCCAAATTGCACAAAAGGTCTCAAAGGCTTGGCGTTCTTTACAAATAGAATGGAAATATTCTAATAAAAACACAACAAAATATGGCAAGAGGACCCGAAGAAAGGAAAAGATCAGTATCCCCAGCCAGAATAGAGGCGGTGCTGGTTGTAGTACTAGCAATTCCTCAGAAACATCAACTTCATATGGTGTCACCGAAGATAGATCATCGGGCCGTTCTATGATGTCATGGCATGATGTTTATTCATTTGCTGTCAAATGGAGACAGATATCTGAGCCTTGTGACCCAGTTGTGTGGATTAACAAGTTAAGGTAATAATTTTGCTTTAATACACAATTGAATGGTACTTGTTTTCGTGTCAGCCTGTCATGCGTGGGCAAAGGTCTACTTGGTCATGACGTGACACATGATACACGGAAGTAGAAAATCCTTGTGAAATTTGATTGTGGCATGGCAATACATAGAAACTTGTTCTTGTATATATATTTATATATAAGATTTAAGTTTTGTTAATTTGTCAAAATTTCTATCTTCACAATCCTCTAACAAGGAAGATGAAGCTCTACAAATATCTAATGTGTATAATTATATTAAATGCTAAACTATTACTCTCTTAATATATATTCTTTTAAGCTATAGTTTAGTTTCACTAACAGTGTACTACTTGCTTGGCTATTAGGGATTTGTACAAGATTCTGTTATTAGAACAACATTTTGGTTTTGCGTTTTCTCCATATATTTCTTTGTGATGTTGTCACTATTCTAACTGTCCTTAAGGCTTAATGCAATATTTCATTTCTCAAATTTTCAAAATGAAACTTCATAAATTAAGACATGAAATATTTTTATTCCAATTAAATTTCTCAAATTTTTCTTGAGTTACTTTTCTACTTAAAATTCTAATCTCTTATAGCGAAAGAAGGGAAAATAATAATAATAATAATAATAATAATAATAATAATAATAATAATAAAGTGCCCAATACTAGGAAAGCACAAATGCTTCTTAGGAGGAGCCAGCCATGTTTGTGTTCAACATGGTGCTGCTGTGTCGGTTAAACATTTGTCATACTTGTAGAAATGTTGCGTGCTTGGCTCAATTTTTTGAGGAAAAATTAATATCTTACACATGGTTAAAACAATTGAAACATGTAAAAAAATACAATTCAATATAGAAAATAATGTAGTTATAAGAGAAGGGATATAATAAGGTAAACGTAATAGTATAGCTTAAAAAATATTATATATGACATTTGTTGAGATCTATCTTCCTGAGATATGTTGTATTTAGTATTGAGATTTTAATAAATCAATCACGCCTGTTCCATAAATATTTTGTATGCATAAAAAAATATGTTTACATATATTGCTGAAACTTCTTATGTTGTGTCCTTTCCCAGAATTTTTTGTGTCCACATGTTTTTGTTTTCTCCATCGTTTTTAATGCTAAAGAAATCCAATAATATTGAATACAGCAATTACATTTTTATCTGCATTGCTTAGTTTATGTCCCTCCTACAAACATTCAAAAGGGGAACGCGTCCCAAATACAATAACGCCCTAAGGCGCCAAAGAAGACACAAAATCAATTAACTCCTCGGGGGATCCACAACATCTACCCGAGCCCCAAAAGACGAGACTGGAAATAACAAAGTGCTTGAGAACAGCAGTCGAGGCCTCCTTTCCTTAGAAAGCTCTGTTGTTGCCCTCCCTCCACAAGCACCACCATAAACACAAAGGCACCATCCTCCAATACCCTCTAACTTGGTTTCCAACAACCGCCCCACTCCAAGCCTCAATCAACTCTCTCGTAGACCTAGGCATGAACCACTGAACTCCGAACAGGCCCAACACAAGGGACCAACAATCCATGGCCACTGGGCAGTGCAAAAGAAGGTGATCCACTGACTCACCGTTATGGTTGCACATGTAGCACCAGTTCACAATGATGAGCTTTCTCCTCAAATTGTCAAGCGTCAAAATCTTACCCAACACCACCGTCCACGTAAAAAAGGCCACTTTAAGTGGCACTTTGGATCTCCAAACTGCATTCCACGGAAACCTCCCAACTGAACCTGAAAGACAACCGAAAAAAGATCTCACACAAAAAGTCCCCCGGCAAGAAGGGATCCAAACCAAAGCATCCCTTCCTACATCCCGCATCTCCTGTCAGTACAAGAGCTCCAGGAAACTGTACACTTGACCCAGTTCCCAATCCTGAACAGATTTGCGAAACGAACATCCCAAGTCGTCCTCCCGCTATCAAGCCGATAACAGTCAGCAACCGAGGCATGTCTATCCACATCAATCCGAAACAATCTCGGAAAAGAACAAGCAAGAGAGAGATCACCACACCACCAATCCTCCGAAAAACTAACCTCCTACATAGGGTGCTTGAAGGGGACTAACTCAAGAAACCTAATCTTTGGCATTGTTTTGCACCAAGTTTTTGCTTTAAGACTTAAATCATATCCTTCCCATATCACCTAGAGCTAACAATGGTTTGCATGAGGTTGGTTTGAATATTTTCCAGGCTTGGTGGCTAAAACCTAACATCAACATATTTGCTTTTTTAAAATTTATTATTTTTACCAAAAATTTGGAATTTTTTTAAGTAAATAAATTCTATCATTTTGTTATTGGTACCCAAGGTGACAGGTTGGTGACCTGGGTCATCTTTTGGCAACTCTGCACTGGTTATTAGGGTTTGCAGTTTTCTGTCCTAACGAGATCGAGTTGGTTGTGGAGTAATATTTCTAAGCATAGAATTCAGGACACAAAGTTCAGTTTTTGTAATTTTAAGCCCTTGTTTAGCAAAAAATCAAACTAATGATTTGAATCACGTTCGTAAAAGAAAAATATGATATAATATATATGTTATTTTTTGGGATGTGCATGCATGCTCATGATCATTATGCATCACATATAACATGTACCTGCATCTTTCGTAACATGATATGTTATAGTTTGGACAATTTGAACTTTTATTTGGTTGCCTATAAAATGGGTTACGTATGTGCTTGTTTGAAAGGTGAGTTAACTTCCAGTTAGGCTGAATCTTTATAGCATTTGCTTGTTAGAGAACAACAAGCAAATGATCTCAAACATTATCTTTAATTATTTTTGGCTTTGATTTTGTTGAGAAAAGGTTGACCACCTTTTGCTCTAATCTTTCTTGATTCTGCAGAGTAGTATCATTTGTTTTCTGAATTTTATTTTCATCTCTAACATTTCCAAATTAGAGTCTGAAATTTAGCTTCTGTTTTGTTCATGTCAATGTGGGCTTCTCTGAAACCAGTGAGGAGTTCAATTCTGGATTTGGATCTCATACGCCGCTTATTCTTGGGCAAGCAAAAGTTGTTCGGTACTTTCCAAATTTTCAAAGGTATAAGCAGTCTCTTCATTTATCTCCAAAGCCAAACCTTCAAGAAAATGCTCATTAATTTGCCAGTGCTGCAGGACACTGAATGTTGCCAAGGCTGTCATGAAGGAAAAGATGTATGTCTACAACAAGGGAGACAATATCATTGATCTGTCTGAAGATGGGAAATTACAAGATGTGAGTCATATTGTTGTTAGATTAAAACTATTATTCTAGAAATGGGAACTCCATGAAGAAACAGGAGTGATGCCCTTATGTAGTGGAATGCTTCTATATTGTCCAGTGAACCAGTGAGTTTTCAATATTTTGTTTCAATCTTCTTCATGCTTATCAGGTGATGCCTAGAGTTCTTATAAAGATTGTCTTTTGTATAGAGGATTAAGTTGGCAAGTGTAGAAGTAAGGCCCATTATATTATTTTTCTCTGGAAGGATTGGAAAAATATTGGAGAAAGTATAACTCAATATTGTAAAGTTGAAGACTCTTATGTTTATCATTTCTTTGTATAAGAAGCGGGCTTCAAGCCTCCATGTCAGCCTTTCAATTTATTTATCCTGTTTTCCACTCTGGTTTTTGGTATCGTCTATTGTTCATATTCATGAATATTTATTCACCAAAAGACTTGTAGATTCTTTTTTTTTCTGTTTTTTCTTTTCCTGCTGAGATGCCGTCATTCAGTCTTCCGCTGTTCCATAATATTTTTATCTATAATAGCTCATGGTTGAATAATATATGCAGATTATGAATGCAGAATCGTGCTATGATCTTTACAGAGTTGTCAATGAGGACTTCTGGTTGGCCACTTGGTGCAATAGTATAGCATTTGAGGGGTAAACATGTCTAAATAGTTTGAAGTCCTGTTCATTGCATATAGTATATTGAATTTCATTGATGAACATAATCTTTGGCATCTGAATTTTCTTGACATGACCCATAATTTGATTTATTGTGCATTTCAGGAGGCGTCTTGAAGGAACGAGGATCACCATGCTGAAAATGTAATTACAACTTTAATTATTAGTTCCTTTTTGTCATTCCATTCTATTCATTGTCTATACTGTTTATTTATTTGGAATTGTCGTGTGATTTTTCCAGGGGGGAACATGGTTTTGACTTTGCAATTCGAACACCTTGTACACCTTCAAGATGGGAAGATTTTGATGCAGAAATGGCAATGGCCTGGGAAGTATGTGACTATTGCGATTTCAATATTCAGTTGTTATTTTTTAATTTTTTTTTTCCGTAAATCTGAATTCAAACTGCCAAGTAAATTATCTTTTTCCCTGGGCTCTGCCATACTATTGCTTCTACTATGTTTGTTAGAAACTCAACTCAGATTCTAAGATATTACAAGCTTAAGATAAGAAAGCACTGAATTGCTTTGGGTCTGACAAAAAATTGCATGAGGGAAGACTCCTTGCGGGGACCCCCAATTGGCTTTGATTCTACTCACGGTTCATAATGTTTTGTGATTAGGATTAAGATTCGAGTAATATTGTGAAACTTAAATGTCCTAGGTAAGATAATAATACCAAAATGTTTTTTTTTTTTCAGTGTGCAAGGACCCTTCTTGTTTGCTTAGACTATTGACTATTGAACTCCTTTAGAAGGGCATTCTGTTCCTTTTTCTGAGTATTCTGACTAGCTTGAATTCGACTTAGTTTCTTCCCTTTTTTAAAAAAATAAAGTAATTTGTTTTGGTGGTTTAATTTTCTATGATATGTAGTAGAGAAAACAACTTTGTTTTAGAAATACTGCTTCACTCCATTGGCTTTGATTTGCACTCACTAATTTGCTTCAGAGGTCAGACCAATCTTTCTTTTATTTACAAAATGGATGTTTTCATGACCTGCTGGGCTGCATCTCTGAAAATATTTTTTTTTCTTTTGCAATTGGATATTTTTATGCAATGTCTGATATGATATGTGATCATTCATAAAAAAAAAAAATTATCAAAAAACTTTTTTAAATCTCAAGTACTACATATATTTGTTAAAGTGCTCCATATATTTGTCTTACTTTTTCTATACATTTATATTTTAATTAGTTTCAGGCTTGTTCATGGTATCTTTTTAAAAAATTTAAGATGCACAAATATTATCAGGAATTATCTCTTTCATATTTTAGAATCTTATGATTTTAAATCCAATATTGCAATCCTTCTTGAAGACCCTTCATCAAGCCTAGGATCCCAATTTCACAATCTTGGCTTCAAGATATTTTAATATTTTATGCTCTTGAAATCGACACGATGTCAATTTAGCTTCATTAATGGGATGTAAATATAAACCATGCATTCGCACCATCTGGGTTTTTTCTTGCATCGTCTAAAACTGTTAAGCAACTGACAGAAAGCGTCACCCTTTTGTCCCTCAACTGAACTGGCCAAACACACACACACACACACACACTTGAAAGAGTTTTTCTTGTTGGGAGAGTGGCGGCATAGATATCTTTGTCTAAGGAAGAGGCTTCATCTTCCAGCTCCTCATAAATGATATTAGGGTTGGGTGAATCATCCCCAGAATGTTAAAAAGAAAACAAGACAGAACGGAATCACTATTTCTCAGTGACATAGTTGGGACGCCTTGATCGAAGCCAAGCTGCGTAGCCACCCTATGAGAGTAATTTTCCTCAATCAGGATTGGATCGATTCTTGGGCAGACATTCTTTTTTGATGCAGCGTTCATCATGATAATTCCTATTAGCTGTGCCAACGACGGATGACTCTATTCATGATAATTTGTATTAGTTTTTGAGAGGAAAGATGTCTCTCTAAACTGAACAGTTTACTATACCACCCTGAGCTATACATCAAAAAGTGGCTTTTGATTAAGGCTTCTAGAGTAACCAAAGGCTCTTAGCAATTGATGACCAATTAGTTAAGCTCTTTTGTTAAAGCACCTTTAGGCGGAGGTTTCTCAATCAACAACCTGAGGTTTTTTATGCAATCTTTTAGTTGGAAGGCTTATGCATAACCACAGGAATGCTTATTAGTGTCTCCATTGTTGATAAAATGATCTTTTACAGTAAAGATAATGACCTTTCCCTTGTATTTGGTTATAACGAAAACCACTGAAATTATGTCACGGGTGTGGCAGAACCTTCTTAGGTGGAAGTGGGATGTAACAATATTGTTTTAAAAATTTTCCAACCCAGTTCCAATAATGCACTTTTCTGCACTTCATCCATAGGGGAAAGCAGATATGCTCAACACTGTGTGGCACCAAGGACTAGTTAAGCTTGATCTGTCAACTCTAGTTCATTACGTAGTACCTGAAACAAAATAAGATAAATTGGGGTTTTAGAATATTTCTTAGACCTAGAAGTCATTTGTTTGGCACTAAAATTTTCATGAAACATGCAATATTTCCTTCCTTGATGCCTTTTCTCCAGTATTAGCTAGTAATATCCCCAAGTTAGCTGCCATCACAGATCAAATGCCGCACTAACTTTACATGTTTAACCTTTATCCATCCTTGACCTTAAAGGCTAAAAGTATGCTGCATGCCTAGCATGCTTTTCACAACTATGAGCAAGATTCAGGACTCGTCCACATCCTCCCTTAATGGGTGGCATCTAAGTACCAATGGACCACCGTGCTTGTTATAGCATTTAACCTTATCTGCATCTCATCTCTTCCTTAACTGTTGTTTCAGGTATGCAACTTGCTATGTGTGTGTCTGTGTTTTTTTTTTTTTTTTTTTACCCCCGTGGAACTTGATATGCTGGTAGACTCGATAATGCAATAATTATTCTGATTTTAAATTGACTGGACTCCATTTAATATTGAAATGTGCTCAACTATGCAGGCTCTGTGCAATGCTTATTGCGGTGAAACTTATGGGTCTACCGATTTCGATGTGCTAAAAAATGTGAGAGATGCAATCTTAAGGATGACATATTACTGGTATGACATGATTTTCACTGCACAAAAGTGGTCTGGTTTTTGGACAATATATTTGGGTTGTCTGTGTAGTTAAAAGTTCATATGATTTTCAGGTACAATTTCATGCCGCTTTCTAGAGGTTCTGCTGCCGTTGGGTTCGTAGTTTTGCTTGGATTACTTCTTGCTGCTAATATGGAATTCACTGGGAGCATCCCGCAAGGTTTGCAGGTGGATTGGGAAGCCATTCTGAACTTCGATCCAAACTCCTTTGTGGATTCTGTAAAGAGTTGGTTGTATCCATCTCTCAAGGTCACTACATCCTGGAAAGATTATCCAGATGTCACATCAACTTTCGAGACAACAGGTTCAGTTGTTGCCGCTCTGAGTTCCTATTCTGACTGAGCATTTTACATCCCTAAGAGGTGAATTACGTAAGTAGGTTTGATGAATATATTAGGAGGCACCAGATGTGCCATGTTCTATTATGCTTTCTGTGGCATTTGAAGACCCTTAATTCATAAAATTAAAATAGATTATCTATAGAACTCATTGGAGTCCTTGCACAAGGCTGATATTTTATAAAATTGGTTCTGGAAGTTCGAGTATGAACTTTTCCTAAAATATGAGATGTATTTTTTTCAAATGCTGTAACTATGAAGAACAGAATCAACTCATTTTTATTTTTATTATTATTTTTGAGCCATACAAAACATCTTTAGTAATATTCTGACTTGTTCACGAACTTAACCTTTCTGCAGAGAGCATTGTAAGCAAAGCGATAAATTCTGGCCATTGATCGCCTCTGAAGTGGTTTATTCTGGCATCCTGAACCAGTAAAGAACCTGATTAACTCGAGGCAAGATTGCTTCATGTTCTCACAGGCTTGTGTTATAACATATGTGATTGTTGTACATTATTTTCCATTCTTTCATGTTTTTTTTTTTTTTCTTTTTCTTTTTCTCCCCCTTTTTTCCTTCAGTAGTTGTCTTACAGTACAATTTCTACTAAATTTCTAAATAATAGCATTTCACATATGGCAATTTTTATTTTTATTACATAAGAAGTCTTAGTCTCTTATCAATAAGGTCATTCCAATAACAAACCATTCTGATACGTGCAGTTTCTCTATTTGATTACCGAGATTAACATATTGGGCCTGTTAAATAATTGATTGGTCTACACTCTACACAGAGATGCTAAAATAAGAACTTAAAAGACGTCTTCGCAAAATGTTCACAATGTTATAGATAACTCATTCTTGAGAGGTGTGTAAATTGGCATAACTATTTCTGTCAAAAGGACTTCAATTTGGTTGTGATTTTTGGACTTGGGGTAAATATGAAGCAAAGTCCCATTTTGGTCGAGGAGTTTCTGCACCAGACCATTGCAGTGAAATCGGTGTATATTGGCTTTTGCATATAACTTGCTCATAAATAAAACTTTACAGTGCAACTCGTAATAAAATGTAGTAATGAAATCATTAAATAATATAACATACCTGTAATCTTATGATACAATGACTGTTAACTTGTAACTAAAATCATTAAACTACCATTATAATTGTCAAAATATGAATGTTTTGAAACCTCTACACCATTTAAACGATTTGGGTATCTAAATATTCAAAGCAAAACCAGCAATGACAATGCCATAGAATATACGCACTTTTCAGGCTACCATATCTGTGGAGTACTTTACCCAAGACCTGCCTAGCTCAAAATGTTTCGGCTTTGAGATTTGAGCGCTGAACTTGAGAATAAGTGCACTGGTAATACCTTATCGCATTATATTTTGTCACGTAAATAAACACTCATTTATTTCAGTGGAATCTATTAATATGTGTCAATATTTAATCAGTCGGAGCTCCCATTAAAGTATTTTTTTAATCTAAGCTCACTGACCCTGAGATTCCTTCCTAATGTGGAGCCGCTAAGATTAGTTGTATATTTTCTCCAATTTTGGAGCTAAATCACCTACTCCAATTAATATAATCACTATATATATATATAATTTGTTTATCATAGCTGAATTCCAATAATAGTTCATTGTTGTGGACACGTATAAGATCATTATTAGTATGGTAGGTTTGATATGGAATCCAGCAAATCTAACTTTAGGATTAGGATAGATTTCTCTTAGTTTTCATTTTGGTTTTACAGTTGTTGGGGTGTCTTAATCTGAGATGCTCAAAGGTGGAATGAAATGCAATCCCTTAACTTTCACTAATTACTTTGACATGCAACAATTATAATACTTCTATTAAAGGTTTAGCATTCAAGACTTTGAACATAGACATTAAAAACATAATGAGCTTCATGATATTGAACCCATACGTACATCACATGGTCTATATTGGTCAAATCAAAATTTTGCCCCCACCCTCTTTTTAAAAGTATTGCTAGTTGGATTGAAGAGTTTGGCCGAAAGAGAGAACCGAGTCCCTTGTGAGCCTATGATGGTTTAACGGAGGCTCGGTTAAACCATCAAAGGCTCATGAGGGACTTGGGCTCGGTTATACCATCAAAGGTTTAACCAAGCCTCCGTTAAACCATGAAAGGCTCGTGAGGGACTTGGTTCTCTTTTTTGGCCAAACTCATTGGTATCAAAATCATTTTCCTTTTTCAATGCTCAGCAGTTCGTAGTTCCTCTTCCCCTCATTGGAGTGTCTCAGCGAGCAAAAATACCAACACATTTACATTTCCTTCTCTGTGCTCGGCTTTCTTGCTTTTTCCACCTCTGTCCCTTCTTCACCAAGGATTCCTCTACCATGTTGGACATACCTTGAAAAGAGAGAATTGTCAGGCTCAGTGTGAGTGTGACCACCAAGCACACATGATAAATGCGAACAGTCACCACAATTCATGGTCTTGGACTACCATTTTGGCTGCATATTTAGCAACATTGTGTACAAACAGATATATCACAAACACATTATAGATATGTGTAATGTGTTGTGTCTATTAATAACTTGGCCAACCCCATTCATATGAGATAAAGGCAAAGATGATGATATATTTGGAACTTACCTAGAAAATCCTTCTTTTCCATCGTCTTTCTTGTACTTATATCGTTGACTTGATCCTTGCCCTTTGATTGTTGTATGACTTCGTGATTGCCATATGTCTTTGATTTGGCAGCAGCAAAAATCCAAGTGGCATTCATCTGCTTGTTAATCATGTGTGCAGCATGATATGGGATCGTTGTATTCCTTCTATCAGCCTCCAATTTGATGCGCCCATTGATAAACTTGAAGCAGTCCATCAAGCTTTCTTTAGCCAACCCTTTCATGTCATAAGCCTGTGATCTTCGCCACAGGCTCTTATTGTGAGGACTCGCTTCACCAGATAGACACAGAGCTCGGGTTGTGTCACTAATGGCCAATTCTGGTTCTTTAAGAAGCAAATAACATTGAGCTCTATTACTGTAAAGAACTGTCCTTTCTCTTTTCATCTTTAGCAGACACAAGTCCAAGGCTTTTGTGTACCTGACAACAGCTTGTTTGATGTCACCTGACCAGAACCTTTGGTTTCCTTCTCGTTTCAACATCCCCGCCAAAGTCTTTCTCTCTCCAACTTCTTGTTCTGACATCAATGTCTCTCTCTTTCTTCGCTCCACCTTCAACTCCCATATCTCTTCCAGTGCTCTCCGAGCTCTCTTGCTTTTCATATGGAGTTTTCCGTATTTGATTTTACTATAATCCTGTAATATGGTTTGTGTGATTCTGTCTCCAACTTTTACCATTCCTCGGCTAACACTTTTGAGCTCAACCAAATCAGCAAGAAACAGGATTACAATATCCAACACTATGTGTCTAGTATCATTGTCTTTAAGAATCAAAAGAAGACACTCAATTGCCTTGTACTGCCAATCATCTGAGGACCTAGAGAGATTGCATAAACTCTCTAGGACTTGTTTTGAATCCGCGATGCTTTTTCTTCCCTTCTTGGTGTTGCAAAGAGTTCTAATCAGCCCAATTCCAACCGGGGAGGCACGATTTGCTAGTCCGCCCCACATGCCACACAAGTCCTTCAAGAAACCTTGTTTGCAGATCTGATTGATGGATGATCTCTCTTTACATGCAAAGCAGTTTAGGAGAAAGAGAGACCAGTACTGAAGTTGACTAGCCCATTCCTCAGCTTTTCTGTTCTCTATTTCTAACTCTCTAACCCCTCTTGTAAGCAGATCACAGTGGTACTTCAATCTTTCAGTATCTTTCACGCCAACAAAGTTACGGTAAACCACGTCGAGGCATGTTGATGCTATCTCCATAGCCAAGCTTATTATCTCTGTTTCATGAGCTGCAACGGCTTCAAATGTGCTTTGATGGCTGGCTAGGTGGCCGAGGGCTCTAACGGCGACTCTTTGCTCCACCCAACTGATTTTTCCTCGCAAAAGCTCCAATAATGGCAGTATCACACCTGATTTAACTGCCATCTCCGCGAATTGAGCCTTGTTCATGGTGTAGGAGCCAATAATATGTGCAGCGTAGTAAGGGACGTATATGTTTTGGTCTCTTGAAAGCCAGTCATCATCATTGATGCCTCTGTCTATAAATTTAGCCATGCATTCAAAGATGCCAAGGCAGGGAAATTCCGGATCATCAGGCTGAGTCATGGCGGTGTTCCAGAGGCTGCTTAACACGAGTACGTTCTCTTGGTCATCTCCGTGAGGCAATTCTTCGAAGTAATTGGCCATATAGGTTCTTCTGAGAGATGAGGATGGTTCGTTCACGGTGCAGAAGAAGCAACAAGTCTTGCTGCATCTGAGCTCTGGCTTTTTAGCCTTGTGGTTGGTTGTCTTGTTTGGGTGCTGTGACTCCATGGAAGGGTAAGATGGGGGAGAAGTTACAAATATATGCTCGTAAAGATTTATAAGAGAGCTAGTGAGCAAAATGAACTTGCATATGGATAAGTAGGAGGGAATGGAAAGGATAGTATCAGTTAAGGGGGAAAAGGATTGGAGAAATGAAATTGCATAAGAGAGCTAGTAAGCAAAATGGGCTTACCTATGTATAAGTAGGGAGGGAATGGAAAGCACAGTATTAGTTGGGGGGGGGGGGGGGGGGGGGGAGAGAGAATGACTGAATAAAATAGCATTAATTGTCATAGAGCACTAAGAAAAAATAATGAAAGCAATAATCCTTTCATCTGGAAATGGTTGAAGAAAAAGACAGGAACTGATTTTTTTTTTTTTTTTTTTTACACAGGACAAAGATATAGCATATGCATTCACTAGAGAAAAAAAAAAAAAGAGAGAGGGTCAAAATGGATAATTCCCAACTCTCTTGTCATATCCTTGTGTTTCCTTCTAGTTGTAATGGGATAAGCCAAAACACAATTTAAGGGATTAATATGCCCTCTTCCCTCCTATTTCCTTCTTTTTCAAACTCATTTTTGGACCAAACACTGTTTTTCCCCTCCTCCTCTCTTTTCCTTTCCTTTCCTTTCAATTCAATCTAAATGCACTCACTGACTGTCATTTTCAAGATAGTCCACTGAGGCCATATCATCTTTTAGGAATCAAATAGGGCCAATTGTGTATTAGAACCTATTTACATCATCTCCTTGAACCTCAGTACAGTTCTTAGGTGTGGCTCCATCATTTTGCTAAGGTAGACTTAATATTCTTTGAGTAATCATGCATGATGCAATTGATCACATGGCTAACACTTAAGCACCAATAAGATTTAAAACACTATTTTTTGCCGTTACTTCGAAGAAAAATGTGACATTGCAGAAAAAATGAGACAGTCATGATGTTCACCATTTTACCCTAAAAAAACCTAGGCATTGGTCCCCTCCTCCAGAACAAACCAATCAATGGCCTCACATTGAAAATGGTTGTATAACTTGTAAGCCATTCAAATTTCCCACTCAAAAAAAGCGAATAATAGAATATGTGGGCAAGTACAAGTGTGGTGGTCTCAAGAAAATGCGGCTTCTGTATAGAATATGGAACCACTTAAGAAAAAAAGCAGTTCTTCAGTTATGCTTAGTTTAATAATGTGATTTGCAGTGTTTTTAATCATGATTATGTCCAAGATCGCGCGGTAATTTAGTTCATGTCTTGACATCTGGATGTGTTTGTGTTGTTGTTCGGCGTGATTGGCATTCATTTCTAGGCAGATGAACATGTAAACTGTCCACTAGGTTAAAAGTGTGAATTTTTCTAACTTGTTGAACTAGTTGCAGAACACAGGTGAGTGATGAACAAGGGGACTTTTGAACAGAACTACCATTTTAATATAATCTCTGCGAAGCCTAAATCTAGAAAGCACACAAAGCCAATAGCACTCTTGCTGAGCTTGAAGTTTTTTTTTTTAATCCTAAAGTGGCATGTAGGGAAGGATTTCTCTGATATATATATATATATATATATATATATATATATATATATATCTTGGCAAACTAGAGCGAAAGGGGACTCGAACACGAGCACACTCACTCGGAGAGTTGGGCGCTCTACTAATTAGGTTACTGGGTAATGCCCGAGAAGGATTTATCTCCAACCTAAACTATCTTTGCGGAGTTGCAAGGCTTCAAGTTGCTTTGACATATGGAACAAACCATCTTGTGAGGGCTCTAATGCAGATCAGTTTTGTGAGTTGTTGATGCTTTTGAATCTGCAACTATATATAAGTTGGTTTCCGCATGATTTTATAGTACAAACTTTCTTACATCAAAACCTTAAAAAGCATAGTTTCGCTTTGGAAAATTCTAAATTTGACTTGCACGCTACAATCGATTAAGAGATATGAGTGTTGGTTGTTGTAGTGGGTCGGTTGTCAACAAGTATAGCACGATTTTTTGGCTTCTGTTTGAGCACATCCTCCATCTCTCTTTAATTAATGTTAATTATTAACTTGCATAGATTAATTCTTGTAATTATTAACAGCTTAGTGATACAAAATTCCTATTTCTTAAAGTCGATCAATAATTCGAGCTTTAAATTTTCGGGAAAAAAAAATAATTCGAGCTTTAGTTAAAAGTATGAGTGTGTGAGTATCGATTAACAGAAGAAAAAAAAAATAAAAAATAAAAAAAAATTAATTTGTTGCGGTCACCATATACATATTTGTCATATCCAGCTATACTTTTTTAACATGTTAAAAGTACTCCTGACTCGATCACTTTGATAAGACTCTCACATTAAGAGATGACATTGACGTCGACTTTATACGACTATATTTATAGTCATTTTACTTTCATGTTTGTTGTATCCATATTTTTTATATTTTTGGATTTGAGCGGCATTATTCCTTAAATACTCATGTCAAACTAAGCGAAAAATGACATAATAGCCATGTCAAATTACCGAAAAATGATAATAAGCCCCAAACACTTCAATCCAACCCTTGTGACGAAACATCAATGGGTAAAGTCAAATAAGAATTTTTGTCAATTTTAAAAAAAAATAAAAATACCTTTTTATAAATATAAAATAATTATTAGTTATTACATCAAATCAGTTGTATAATCGAATAAAAATAAATTGTTAAGTATACATTGAATCATACTATATAAAAAATAAAAAACTTAATTTTTTCTCCAAATTGAAGAAAAAGTGGGCCAAGACATAAGGTGGGATGGGACCCATTGCACCTTGATTCTATCGGCTCGTTCATTAATGACAAGAACTAAAATTTGAAACAAATAATGTAGCTGGTGAGTATCATAATGAATGTAGGAAGATAAGACTAGTAAAAATTGATGCATGAAAGGTACAAGATTTCAAATTACTGTGCAAGAAATTAATGTAGGAAAGTACTTCTTCTCGTGTTATCTTTTTCTTGGCCAAGTTCTTGAGTTTATCCAACTTATAGATGATGAAAACATGAGCAAGAAATAAATTATGTATTCTGTGTGGCCGGTACATTGGGCACATTAGAATCATCTGTACATAACAAGTGCGGGCACAGACAGCTTTGATACCAAACACACCGATTATATTCTTCATTGCTATCAAGATAAAATATCAGAGAACAATAATAAGAAAACAAATAAATACAACCAATCCCTGCAAAAGATTATTTAAATAATAATAATAAAAAATAAATAAAAGGGAAAAAAATAGTGAAGCATAGAGGACATGGGTTGTGGGGCTAGGCAGGCCCATATAAGGTGGATGTCTTGGGCCTGCAAATTTTGGTCCATTTGATTTCGCATCATTTTGAACATAGAAATATCATTTAGTGGGCTGGTAAAGGTTTCTCCTTTTGTACAAACAAAATTGGACTTTCGTGGTCCGATTCAGATTTTGGACTATCCAAGTCCTTTTCAATTTTTATTTTATTTTATTTATTTTTTTTCAGCGCCAGTGACAAATAACTCCCACAGTGTATTTTGAGAGACTCGATCCCTCCACCTTTCGTAATGAAAGAAGAGACTCGATTTCAAGGTGCTTCAATATAAACTTAATTTGTGGTCATTGTTAATGGCAAATGGTAAAAGTTCAATGTGATAAATGTGAGAATGTAAGTTCGAGTCTCACAACATTCATTCAGCATTCAATCTTATCTTGCAACAATGTTTAAAATATATAGAAAAGAGTTATTTCAGTGCACGAAACTCTCAAAAATATAAACTTATGGATTGACGTTCTGAGACTCAAATCTATGTCAGTCATCATTCATTCAAGAACCAAATATGGATTTAGGGTTTCGCAATTGTAACGGTTAATGAAAGCCTCGAGGGTCATATATATAAATAAATAACTATATATATATATATATATATATATATATATATATATATATATATATATATTAGCCTTTTCAGCACCTTCCCTTCCCTCCTTATATTATTACACACACCACATATAATTTTTGGGACCATATATAATTTGTCCACAATTATTTATATCATCTCAACCAACTACAACTCTACTCCACACATAATCAAAGCAATTTTGTTTAAATTTTTATTTCCATATTGAGTTATGATTAATTAAAATCATATAATAATTTTTATTTTTTTTAATAACGTAGTCAGCAAAAGCCCTTAAAATTTAATTATCTATGTTCATTATATAAGATACAAATTAATTTACTTTACATTATCATATAATAATATAAAATTTATTATATTAGATGAAGGTAGTGAAATTATTTGTTGAAAAGCTGGAGTACAAAACAACTCTAAAATTGTGATTTAGAGATGATTGTATGTTAGTAATTACTGCAGTTTTTGTTATATATTTATTTATAAATAAAATTATAAATGAATATTATTATTAATAAAAGAAGGTGGGCTTTCTTTGAATAAATTGAATGTAGAGTATTAAATATATTTGAACCTAAACTTTCACAGTAAAACATCTACCAAATTCTGACCCTCCACCCATTGAGAACAATGTGCAATAGGAGAGAGAACAATTTTGTTACTAGTGAAGTTTAAGAACTAAAGATAGGCAAAGAGAGTGAGTTCATAATTATTTATCTAGTGCTTAATTGTTATATAACAATTAAGCACTAGATAAATAATTATGAACTCACTCTCTTTGAGTGAGTTCATATTTATTTTTATCTTTTTTCTTCTTATTTTCAGAAGGGTTTTATTCTAAGGCACTTCACATGACAATAGGTAGCTTCTTTTTAGTCATTGTCATAGGTAGGTTCCTTCTTAGTCTTTTTTTAGTTCTCTTTAGGTTCAAGTGATTTTGTTAGACTTGTGTCGAGTGCTTTCTTTTTTTATTTATTTATAATAAAACTTATCATTATTTTTATTTTATTTTGTTAACAATGAACTCACAGAACCATTTATTTCTTAATCATTTCTAGTCATTCACTTTGAGAAATAAATGAGATATCGCTGTACCACTATTGAATAATCATGTTTACTTTCTATTTGCAAATTATATACATTAATGCTCCTCAAAATTAGTTTAATGAGTCGAAGCATACAATCGGAGGAACGGGGACATCAGAAAAAATTGGAAAAATACAGAAAAGATTACTGTGGACCATTACAAGAGATATTTGTATAGAAATCAGTTCAAGGTATGCAATACTATTAGGAAAATGATAAGTGAGCCGAGTCAAACAACCGAATAAAAAGTCGAATTTAACGTGGCTGAGCCACGTCAGATTATTTTCTAAAAACATAACTCCTACCTCTTCCCTTCTCTCTCCTCTCTTAATTCTCAATTTTTCTTCTTTCTTCTGTATTCAATATTATCTTTGATTTTGGTTTTGTCTCTCCTTTTGATTTCGTAAAATTGAAGATAAAATATAAAAAAAAAAATTAAATTTCTTCATGTTTTGCAAATATAGAAGCACAAAACCAAAATAGAACAAAAAAGAAAAAGAAAATAAAAGCTACAATTTCTCTCATTCAGATTTTGTATTCATAAAAATCAAACAGAAATTTTGAGAAGATTCAACCGTTTCTCTTCCCTTTTTTTTTTTTTTTTTTTTTTTGTGTAAGAGATTAATGTATTTTGTAATGGCAACTCTTGTGTGAATATTTACTTACCACAAAAAAAAAAAAAAAAAAAAAAATCTTGTGCATATTTTTCATCCGGGATTGGAAAGATTTATTTTTGGAAGATTTATGAATAGAAAAAAGTAGGTGATCTTAAAAAAAAAAGCGAGGATAAAGAATTTTGGATCTTGTCTCTAGAATGCTTTGGATATGTGTATATCAAGAGAGGGAATGTATAAGAAGAATTGGTGAAGAACCAGACACAGAGAGGAGAGAGGAAATAAGAGGAAGAGAGAGAAAAAGGAAAAATTGGGAGAGAAAAAATCGATAATAAAGAGTTAGGTAAAGAAATTATTTGACGTGACCAATGGTGATTATTTCGGTAGAAATATTCGGGTTCTCTGTCACTGCTCGTACTATTAACATGATAGTCTAGTAGGGGATGATGACACTATTTTCTTTTGGAAAGTAAAAGCATTGAAACAAGTTTTAGCCAGAGAATGAACTTTTTCCTTTTATACCTATATTGTTAGTCAAGCCACAAATGACTTAGATCCTTAGGTGTTGTTTGGCAACCATAATTGGCCTTTACGTTTTTGCTTTGACTCGAAATAGAAGTAATTTTTTTTTTTAATTTTATTTTAGAGTGTATATAATACTATTTCGAGACATATTTGTGATAACGTAAATTTGTTATAAGATTTTTGTAAACAAAAATATAAAAATATGACTAATGGGCCAGTGGCTTAGCAGTATCGATCATGTCCTTACCTTTCTTTGGGTAAGGGGTTCAAATCTCAGTGAAAGCATGTATATATGGGTACCAACTAAGGAAATAAATAAATATATATATATATATATATATATATATATATATATAAGTGTACGTTATAAATGTGAAATATTAAATGGCTAGTTAAAAAGATCATTTTAGAGATTTTTTTTTTTTTTGGAACAGTGCTTTTGCTACATCAGCACTAATTTGGTACTTTCTATTTTGGCCTCTATTTCAAAAGTGCTTTAATACTATTCAAATTACAGAACCAACACGTTTCTTTGTGCTTTTACTTCGCTACTATTATTCGAATAAAAAAAACGTAGAAAAAAATGGTAATAATAAAAAAAAATAAGTGATTTGCCAAACAGACTCAAGTACTAATTTAGATGGATTGGACTAAATTTTTCACAGTTTGGCAATGAAACTTCTAAAAAGTTAGATGAAATTTTCAAACAATTTAAAAAAAAAAAAAAAGAAAAAAAAGAAAGGAAAAGAATCAGTCACACTAACAAAAAAAAAAGGTTTAATGAAGGACTTGGTACATTATTAATGAAGAAGCAAACATTAATTTATGTGGAGATGTAAATCAGAGTTTATTAATTCGATCAATTAAGAAAATCAATGAGACAAATCGGGGATATTGTTGTTGCACCTCTAATATTCCAATCACATGAAGAAAGCTAATTTAAAAGTTTGAGGTTCAGTTGGGTTGGTTTGTTGTTTAGTGATGTATACTTAAAAAAATGATTGAATCCATAAGATTTAAAGAGTAAATCACACCGACATCATTTCAAAGTGAAGTGAAATTACATGCGCCAAAATTTACAATGGCTTCAAGGGCAATTTTTTTGAATTTTGACTTATCCTCTATATGAATTTTGTTACAAAGGAATGCAAAATTGTAAAAATGATTATGGAACGGGTTTAACTAGGTCAATTCTTCCATTTCATTCCCGTCCCAACCCGAGACGAGTTTTTGGTAACAATACCATCCTCGTCCGAGGAAGGTATTCAAGACTTCATTCCCATCTCAAAAAAAGACAGATAGAGTCAAAAAGTTCTCACCTAAGTCATAATCTTCACCTAAATGTAGTCACGGAGGTTGATCGGTGTTGCAGGCTTACGACGAGCTGAGAAAGGGAGTGGCTACTACTCTTGTATTTTCTAGAAGAGGAACCTGTCAATTGAAGAGTGAAAATCAACCCTAAAGTGTAATATATTGTAAAGAAATAATACATTGAAATTAAGGGTGCATGCATAATTTATTTTTCTCATTAGGGTTCAATTACATATTTACCTCACCTCATTCACATTACAACTTCTAATACTATACTCATTTTTACCCCCTAGTAAGATTTTTGAGAACACAAAGGTATGGTATACTTCTCTCCATTAAAGGTTAGTGTAATTTAACAAAATAAATAAAATAAAAAATTATTAAACAATAAAATAAACTATTTATTTATTTATAATTTTAACCTGACATTGTTGGCAAGTAAAGAGTTATATTCATCAACAACCATCTCTCTTCATCTGCCATTGTGAGGCAATTAACAGAGTATTTTTCGGATAATATAATTCTAGAAATTAATTATGACATTTTATTATCCTCCTCAAACTCACCCGTGACTATTACCATCTTATCTTATAAATTTATAGTCAGTATAGGAAATACCATATGTTCTTAAAAATATAAAAAAAAAACACAAAATTAATTAAATATGGTAGGTTTGTACTGGGACCCACACTGGCGGTGCCCTGAGAGTCCAGCGAAAGCTGGCCAAACCTCCGGTAAACTTACTCCGCAATCATAGCCCCCAACAAGCCACTACGTGTCCAACTCGCATTGGCCCATCTTCTTCTCGGGCCCACATAAGGATTTCCAGCTGTACAAGAAGTGCCCTAATTCGAAAAAGCCAAATCAAAACGCCACAAAAATAATCACAAACAGGTCAGGTGACGTGGCGATCATTAACCACATTATAATAAAATAACTCGCGTCACATGCAATCCTGTCCCACTCTCCGAGCACAGACTGTTTCGATTGCCACTTTGCGCTGGTTCATTTTGTTCGCTACTGCATGGCCCACACAACTGTCGAACCTGCTTTACTCTCTCTCTAACGTCCGATCTAACCCTTTTTAATCAATCATGATGTAATACATTGATCTAACGCTCACTATTTATATACTTATCTTTGCTCCTTCTCCCTTCTATCACCATCTCCCAGATACACACGCTCTTTCTCTCTCTAGTTTCTCTCTCTAGAAACCATGGATAGGAAGATTGTGTCGGCGTTTGCATGTGTGTTTATTATAGTTGTTGGTGTCGGTGCGCAATCTCCGGCGGCGGCACCGAGCATTACGCCGCCTGCTACGGTGGTGACTCCCGCTGCAACACCGGTTACTGCGACGGCGCCGTCGACACCGAAATCGGCAGCTCCGGTGACCGCTCCGGTTTCGGCACCGCCGACTGCTGTTTCGACGCCGCCGACTGTGGTTTCGACTCCCCCGGCTACATCTCCGGTTTCGGCTCCGCCGACAGTGGTGGTTCCAGTGCCGGTTTCAGCTCCACCGGCTAAGGCACCTGTGAGCTCACCTCCGGCTCCAGTGCCGGTCAGCTCTCCGCCTGCTCCAGTACCAGTCAGCTCTCCTCCTGTTGTTGCTCCGGCGACTCCTCCAGCTGTGCTTCCGCCTGCGAAGGTTCCTGTGGCTGCGCCTCCTGCGGAGGTTCCTGTGGCTGCGCCGCCTGCCAAGGTTCCTGTATCTGCGCCTGCTCCAAGCAAGAAGAAGACTAAGAAGCACCATGTGCCTTCGCCAGCGCCGACACCCGAGTTGCTCGGACCACCTGCACCACCGACCGAAGCTCCCGGACCGAGTCTCGACTCAGTCTCTCCTGGTCCTTCACTAGCAGATGAGGTAAGTTTTGCTTGCACCCAGATCTAACATAATTCAAGTCTCATTGTGTACTTTCTTTTGAAAATTTATTTATTTTGGTATTTGAATTAGATTATTAATTAATTGTTTTCAAAATGTGAAAAAAATTCATGATTTTTTTTTTTTTAAATTTTAAAATTATAAATTATTGCAGCATTATTTCTATTAAAATGATATAAAAATGGTTGTATAATTAGTTTTCTCTAGTTCCACATTTTCTTAGTCATATACTCAATTTTAATGCTTCTGAGAGCAAGATATCATAAGACAATGTTATATTCGGTTGTATAAAATTAAAATTTTGATAAAGTAGCTTTAGTTATAAACACATTATTATCGATGCACAGGAAGTCTTTCTTAAATTAAAGTTAAATAATGGCAGTCTATTTATTAAAATTAAAAAAGTGGAAATTGAATATTATATCCTTCATTTAAATCTAAAATTAAAAAAAGTGGAAATTGAATATTATATCCTTCACACAATAATTGAATTCTGAAATTAAATTGGAACCAAATTGCAGAGTGGAGCAGAGAAATTGAAGAGCATGCAGGTGGTGGTCGGAAGCTTGGTATTGGGATGTGCTGTCTTGGGTTGGCTCTTCTAGAGAGAGAAAGTGTTTTATTATTATTAATTTTTTTTTTTTTTTTGGTTATTTAAATCTTTGTCCCCACGGGCCATGTTTCACTTTCATTATCGCGGGATCGAATTTAATGCTATTATTTGTTGTTTATTTGTATTATTATTAATTATTATTTGACTGGCTTGATATGGGGATTTACCAAATTGGGGCTGGGCTTTGTATTCTTTGGTGTTGTTTGAGTTGAAATTTGTTTGTTAGCATTGTGTAGACAAATTTCTTCCCTTTGGAATATATATGAGACCACTTTATTCTATTTTTTACTTTTTACATTTGGGACATGTCGCTTTCTCTTGGATTTTATGAACTCGATATACTTTAGAATGAAGAACAAGTAATCTAAGAACAATGTTTCTTTGTTTTAGTTGGATTCCAGACATTATTATATAATCTCGATCAATTACAATTTGACTCGTAAATATTTAACATATTTATTGATATGTCAAATTGTGATCGACTAGATCATGCAATTTCGGACAATGACTCATATAATCCCGAATCATAGTTCTAGGACTTACGAGTGCATTTGTGTTCGGGAGGATTATATATGCATCCAAAGGTGCTAGTTTAAACTCAAGATGAATTTGGAACACTAAGGTCATTATGGCCAAAAAAAAAACTTTGTCTATGAGGCTAGGTGTAAAGATTTCTATTCATTTGATGCAGTGAACTGCCTATCTTTGAACTTACTTATTATACGAAATGGATGGAAGCTTTATAGACTTGACAAATAAATTTGAGAATTCTATCTAAATATCATTATTTTCTATCCAAGGTGGGATGATAGATGATGGTTAAACAAATGATTGTGCTGTCTTAGATATTATTTGTTTTACATATTTACAGTTATTAAAACACATTAAAATAGTTAGACTGCATTCCAACCATCTCTCTCCTGGCAAAATAGGACATCCGGTAATCACGGACACAATCTCTTTGAATTACCATTTGCTTTCACTATGTCAAACCACGTGGTTATGATTAAAATATTAACAGAGAATTGAATATTTAGAATTTTGAAATAATGTTTACTACAATGTCAATGTGCGTGTCTATTACTTACCCAAAACTTTTTGGAAAAAACTTTTCTTACATGGCATAAGCAAGACTCTACTTCTAATGCGGATATGGATCAATAACAACATGACATGTGTCGAAAAAAATTAAACTTGAATCATTTGATGTTTCACTGGTCATCCAAAAAGGAAGATGATTTTCTCTCACGCGTGTGTGAGATTTGGTAATGGATTCTTCCTCTCTTTAACTCATAATTCATTCTCTATTCCTACCAAATCCCTATTGATATCCACCATCTCTCTAATTCGGAAACCCTAATATTAATTCTCTCTTCTACCAACCGACCTCCACCACCTGTTTGCCACCTCTTCCATTCCCAAACCCTAATATTTTACATTCACCCTTTAGAGATGATTCAAGCCGCCATATTTGTTGCATGTCATCTCTGTTGCAATCCCATCTCCAGAATGACTCAAAAGACCGACCAATTAATAAATACGCATAACTCTAGTGGTATCTAAAATTTTGAAATTTATCATCACCTATTGCAATTTGAAGCGAAATTAAACTATATTGATAATTGGAGTTTTACAATTGTGTTTAATTTACCATGTTTGTATTAATTGTTTAGCTTCTTGTGTAATGGATTGTTTTGCAATAGAAAATCTCAAACGCATAAGAGAAAAAAAATAAAAATAAAAATAAAATTTCTTTTGAATGATCCGCAAAAAATCCAAACAAATTTTATTAATTATTTAAAAAAGTTTATGACACATGTCATATTTTTATTAGTAAATGTCAGCATCATAATTTCAATCCTAACTTATGGGACCTGAGACAAGCATTGTTCAAATATATATATATATGGGTGCCTATTATATGTGAAATTACTTTAGGAGACAACTAATCTATGAAAAAATGGAAGCTAAACATTTAAATTTGGTGAAAAACATTATTTTCCTAAGGCACGTGATAGTTGCACTTTACTTTTTATTTTTTTACTTTTTTTTTTTTTTTAGAAAAGATAAATTACTTTGAGACCCATGAGTCCCTAGTAGTGTTATATTTAAGAAAGGGCCCTAACCAAATATCAATTGTACAATTACAAAAATACCCTTACTTTTATTATACCAATTCAATGTCTTATTTAGTAGATGTAAGCAATAAAAAAGAAATGACCAAATTTTAAAGGCTCTACATTCCCTCTCTCTCCACCCCCACTCTACTAGGCCCCAAACTTCCTCCCCCCTTTTATTCTCTTTGTCTCAGATATGCGCTCAAATACATATCCTTCACAATCCATTTTCTAGGCTTATTGGATATGCAATCAATTCAAACCCCACATGGTACCAAAGAATCATAAAAAGCAATCAAAACAAAACTTAATTCCAATCATCTTTTCAACTCTTGTTCAACCAAATCAATTGATATATTGGGGATGAGAATGAATTTAGTTTCATATATTTCGCATGACGTGCGTCTGGGGAGACACGATTGTTAGGGTTTTTGTTGCCGAGGAATCTCAATCACATACATTTCTTCAAATCTCAAATGTAAAGTGAGTATTAATTCTTCGGCCAATTCTAATTGGGAATTAATTTTCACGAGTTAAAAACAAACTCATCAAAACTGCACCAAAAATTGTGTCTGCCCCGCCATTTGGGTTTATGTGGTCCAAACAGTCCATATAAACTTTGACAAAGCATTCAATATATATTTATACTATTATTAAATATGCAAAGTGTTTCAGTATTTATTTATTTATAAAAAAATATTTATTAATTGATATAAAAATAGTTTTTGTAAAAATAGTTTCTATAAAACTTTAAAAATTACCTAATAAAATAAATCACATTTTATATAAAACTCTTATTTTTAGTTATTTTTTATGGATAATTATAGTTTCTATAAAATTCTAAAAATTACCTAATAAAATCAATCACATTCTATATAAAATTCTTATTTTTAGTTATTTTTTTATGGATAATTTTCACAATATAACCAGCTGAGCCCAATTCTGATTATGTTATTATCAGAAAAAGACACATGTCATCATTCTATTCATCCAAGAAGCCTATAAATAGAGTCATGGAGGAAGGAGGAAGGGGTACAGAAATTGAGAATTCTAGAAATTCAGAATTCCAAAGTTTTGCCAAAGAGTTTCAGTATTTATTTATTTATAAAAAAAATATTTATTAATTGATATAAAAAGAGTTGAATTCCTACCTAATAAAATTTAAATTAACCTATTTATCTATTTATTATTATCCATTTTTAATAAAACAAAATCTAATTAGATAACATTTATTAATATAAAAAATATTTATTAATTGATATATAAAATAAAATAATTTTTATAAAACTCTACCACAAATTAGCTTTTATTATGAGTAACTTAATAAAATTAAATTTAATTAGACAAGTATATATTTAAAGAAAATAAAATAATTTCAATAAAACTCTATTACAAATTACCTATTTTAGTATCAATAAAACTCTATCAACAAAGATATATTTAAAGAGTTTCTATAAAACTCTAACACAAATTACCAATTTATCAATTTATTATGAGTTTTTTAATAAAAGTAAACCTAATTAGACATGTATTATTAATATAAAAAATTATTTATTAATGGATACAAAAAGAGGTTTTTAAAGAGTTTTTAAAACACAAATTACCTATTTATCTATTTATTTTGAGTTTTTTTAATAAAAGTAAATCTAATTAGACAAGAATTATTAAAATAAAAAATATTTACTAATTGATATAAAAAGAGTTTTTAAAAGAGTTTATATTAAACTGTAACAGAAATTACTTATTTATTTATTTATTACAAGTTTTTTAATAAAAGAAAATGTAATTTACCTAATAAAACCAATCACATTCTATATAAAACTCTTATTTTTAGTTATTTTTTATGGATAATTATAGTTTTTATAAAAATCTAAAAATTACCTAATAAAATCAATCATATTCTATATAAAACTCTTATTTTTAGCTTTTTTTTTTCATAAATAATTATCACAATATAATCGGCCCAGCCCAGTTATGATTATGTCATTACTAGAAAATGATACATGTCATCATCCTATTCATACTAAAAGAAGTCTATACATAAAGGCATGGAGGAAGGAGGAAGATGTACAGAAATTGAGAATTCTAGAAATTTAGAATTTTAGAGTAAAATACAAAAGCTCTGCCAAAGAGTTTTAGTATTTATTTATTTATATAAAAAATATTTATTAATTGATGATATAAAAATAATTGAATTTCAGAGTAAAATACAGAAGCTCTGTCAAAGAGTTTGAGTATTTCAATATTTCTTTATTTATATAAAAAAATATTTATTAATTGATATAAAAAGAGTTTTTATCTATATTATTATTAGATGTGTAAAGAGTTTCAGTATTTATTTATTTATGTAAAAAAATATTTATTAAATTATATGATAAAACACTAAAATCTACATAATAAAATTTAAATTAACCCATTTATCTACTTGTTATTATCAATTTTTTAATAAAATAAATCTAATTAGACAAGAATTATTAATATAAAAATAATTATTAATTTATATAAAAAATAAATTAATTTTTATATGACTCTACTATGAGTTTCTTAATTAAATTAAATCTAATTAGACAAGTATATATTTAAATAAAATAAAATAATTACAAAAACAGTTTTTAAAAAACTCTAACACAAATTACCTATTTATCTATTTATTATGAGTTTTTTTAATGAAACTAAATGTAATTAGACAATAATTTTTAAAATAAAAAATATTTATTAATTGCTATAAAAAGAGTTTTTAAAAGAGTTTATATTAAACTCTAACACAAATTACCTATTTATTTATTATAAGTTTTTTAATAAAAGAAAATCTAAGTAGATAAGAATTATTAATATTAAAAATATTTTTAATTGATATAAAAAATAAAATAATTTTTCTAAAATTCTACCACAAATTACCTTTTATTATGAATTTTTTTTTTTAGTAAAAGCTAATCTAATTAGATAGGAATTATTAAAATATAAAAATATTTATTAATTCATATAAAAAGAGTTTAAAAATATTTTCTATAATACTCTAACACGTATTGCATATTACAATTTTTTAATAAAAGAAAATCTAATTTTTAGAGTAAAATACAGAAACTCTACCAAAGTGTTTCAGTATTTATTTAATTATATAAAAAAAATTTATTAATTAATATAAAAAAAAGTTTTTATCTATA